CGTTTCACCATATTCTGCTTCCTCGTCACCAATCCGGTGATCTTATCAAATTTCTGATTGATATTCGGCAAATTTAGAATCTGCCTCTTCCATTGCGGCGTGTGCGCGAACAACCAAAACAGCGTACACAACGTGGGGAACAATTGAGATTCTTTGTCGCACCAGTGCATCATGACAGTGACCAATTTGTCGATGTGAGGGAGAGAGAAGCTGTGCACCTTCGTCTCGTCCAGTTTGTTGAAGTTTATCAAGATTTTGACGGATACGATGCAAGCGGTCATCTCGGGCAGGGATCTGGTCATTGCGCAGAGCATCATGTAGAGATGCTCGGCGAGATGTCTGCCCAAATTCAAGCAGATCTTCTTACATCGTCTGGTCGCGTATTCTGTAATTTAACAATAAATTATTATAGGCTAGGAAATTAATTTAGAAAACGGCTGGGCTTCTCAAGAATTCGTACAAAACTGGAAAATTTGCGACCGAGACTTTGCCAGGAACAATATACAGAAACAAATACATACAACATTCATGGAATAAGTCAGAAGTCTGGATAATCAATACTAGTTTGAGGATTTAAAAAAGACCAAAGAAAGTCGAAATAATTTCTCAAAATTTTGAATTTCTTTGTTCCCATCGAGGTTTTTTTTTTAAATTCTATATTATTATATTTGTGCATTAATTACTTTTTTATAGGTTAAGCTATCACTGTTTTAATAATGTTTTATAATTATTTAAATTTTTCGTTACATGGAAAATAAATTTTAGCAACAAACCTATTTAATTTACTGTCACTAATGAATAGATACGTAAGTTTATTCAAGTTTTTTAAATGTTATTCGCAAGAAAAAAAAATATATTAATGTATATTTGATTACCTATATCTGCTAAAGCCTTTATGATGTGGAACAAAGTAGAACCTTCGTTGAGTATCGTATCTAAAGCCATGTTGCATTTATATTCGATGCAATTTTCCGGAACGGCGGACGCATGAGCTTTGACGTATCTCTGTCTGATTTGCTTCAATTGCGGATTTTCCTGTCTTCTCGATTTGTATCCTCTCCAAAGACGCTACAAAAATAAACGCAATAAAATGATTTACCTTGAAGTATAGGTACTTATACAAAAAATCAAAAGTAAATTCAATCAGAAAAACTGGAATGATTCACAACAAAAACAGATTACTTTCAAAGGCATATAAATATGTTTTAAGTGAGTAGTTCAAATGTATCTTTCTTAAATTTGATATTTAATATTCAAAAGAAATGTTCCTAGAGATTATTTTAAATGCCCGAGTTAAGTTTTTAGAAAGTAGTTCAAATGAACCAATTTTAAATTCAACCAGAAAAGTTTAAATTATTCAAAAGAAAAAGTCGGGTTTTTAGGTACCCATTAGAACATGTTCTAATACGTTTTCAATGAGTAGTTCAAATGTACCTTTCTCAAATGTGATACAGTGGCACTTAATAATCGAAAGAAACATTCACAAAGATTATTCTAGGGCATCTAAATGTTCAAGTTATATTTGTAGAACGTAGTTCAAATGAACCAATTATAAATTCAACCAGAAACTTTAATTATTTTATATAAAAAACCGATTCGTTTTTTAGGTACAAGAATATGTTTTAAGTGAGTAGTTCAAGCCCATCTTTCTTAAATTTGATACAGGAGCACTTAATATTCCAAAGAAACGTTCCCAGAAACTATTTTAGGTTATCTAAATGTCCAAGTAAACTTTTTAGAAGGTAGTTCAAATGAACCAATTATAAATTTAATCGGAAACACTGGAATAATTCGAAAGAAAAACTGAGATTACTTTAGTAAGCATAAGAATTTTCTAGTATGTTTTAAGTTGGTAGCTCAAATATACCTTTCTTAAATTTGATATAGGAGCACCTAATATTCCAAAGAAACGTTTCCAGAGATTATTTTAGGGTACCTTAATGCCCAAGTTAGATTTTCAAAAAGTAGTTCAAATGAAACAACTACAAATTCATCCAAAAACACTTAAACAAATGAACAAGAAAATAGATTAGTATTTAGGTTCCTATAAGAATATGTTCTAGTATGTTTTAAGCGAGTAGTTCAAATGTAACTTCTTCTAACTGTACAAGTAAAGTTTTTAGAAAGTAGTTCAGATGAACCAATTAAAAATTTTACTTGACTAATTCAAAAGAAAAACTTTAGTAAGCGTAAGAATGTTTTAAGTCGGTAGTTCAAATGTACTTTTTTTAAATTTGACACAGGAGCACTTAATATTCAAAAGAAACGTTTCCAAAAATTATTTTAGGGCATCTAAATGTCAAAATGTTTAGAAAGTAGTTCAAATGAATTAATTTTAAATTTACACCTAATAGTTTGAATAATTTAAAAGAACATGTAGTTTTTTAGGTACCTATAAGAATATGTTCTAATACGTTTTAAATGAGTAGTTTAACACAAATATAAAGACACTTAATATTTAAAAAAATCATTCCTAAAAATCTAAATGTTCAAGTTAGGTTTTTAGAAAGTAGTTCAAATGAACCAATTTTAAATTCAATCAGAAACACTTGAATAATTTTAAACAAATACAGATTCATTTTTTAGGTAAAATAATATATTTTAAGTGAGTAGTTCAAACGCATCTTTCTTACACTTGATACACAAGCACTTAATATTTCAAAGAAACTTTTCTAAAGATTATTTTAGGACAACTAAATGTCCAAGTTACGTTTTTAGAAAGTAGTTTAAATGAACCAACTACAAATTAAACCAAAAACACTTGAATAATTCCCAAGAAAATAGATTAGTTTTTAGGTATCTGTAAGAATATGTTCTAATATATTTTAAGAAAGTAGTTAGTTCAAATGTACATTTTTTAAATTTGATAAGAGGCAAAAAATATAATCGCAGTAATTTTCGTTAAAAAAAATTATAATACTTACTTGAATTTGTGTTGCAGCAGTATTACGCATCTTCTCGATCCTCCTTTGTTCTCTAGCTTCGTCGGTGAAATAAGCAGCATACTTTTTCCTTATCGAATATCCCCTAGCGAATCTCTGCAACCCCAAAAACAACAGATAATTTCGTCGTTCGATTTTCCTCGCAGCATATTCCCTCCATCTGTTTTGAACTATAATAGCAGCTCTCTTGGTACGTTCGAATTTATTTCTTTCGATCCTCATTTGCAAAGTCGCTCTAATTTTCGTTTGGATTATCAAAACTGCTCTTTTTATTATAAGGAATAGTTTAAGTTGCTTTTCTCCCAACTTTTTGGCCCTCCAATGGGACTGAATTACTAACGCGGCTTTACGTAGAGATAAATACTCTTTTCTATCTCGTTCACAAGATTTTTTAGCTCTCCATTGTCGTTGAATAACTAGTACAGCTTTATAAGTTTGTTGGTATTCTATTCTTTGTTTTTGCGCTAATTTATTAGCTCTCCATATTTGTTGAATAGTTATAACAGATTTTCTTAATGATAAATAACGATCTTTCTGCTCGTTTCCTAATTTTTTAGCTCTCCATAATGCTTGAACTGATAAAGTAGCTTTTCGCATCGATAAATAATCGTTTCTAGCATTTCTAGCTAATTTATTAGCTCTCCATTGTCGTTGAACAAAGAGTGCAGTCTTACAAGTTTGTTGGTACTCTATTCTTTGTTTTTGCGCTAATTTATTAGCTCTCCATATTTGTTGAATAGTTATAGCGGATTTTCTTAAAGCTAAATAACGTTCTTTTTGCTCGTTTCCTAATTTTTTAGCTCTCCATAATGCTTGAATTGATAAAGTAGCTTTTCGTATCGATAAATAATCGTTTCTAGCATTTCTAGCTAATTTATTAGCTCTCCATTGTCGTTGAATAAACAGTGCAGTCTTATAAGTTTGTTGGTATTCTATTCTTTGTTTTTGCGCTAATTTATTAGCTCTCCATATTTGTTGGATAATTACAGTAGACTTTCTTAAAGCTAAATAACGTTCTTTCTGTTCATTTCCTAATTTTTTAGCTCTCCATAACGCTTGAATTGATATAGTAGCTTTTCGTATCGATAAATAATCGTTTCTAGCATTTCTAGCTAATTTATTAGCTCTCCATTGTCGTTGAATAAACAGTGCAGTCTTATAAGTTTGTTGGTATTCTATTCTTTGTTTTTGCGCTAATTTATTAGCTCTCCATATTTGTTGAATAGTTATAGATGATTTTCTTAAAGCTAAATAACGTTCTTTTTGCTCGTTTCCTAATTTTTTAGCTCTCCATAATGCTTGAATTGATAAAGTAGCTTTTCGTATCGATAAATAATCGTTTCTAGCATTTCTAGCTAATTTATTAGCTCTCCATTGTCGTTGAATAAACAGTGCAGTCTTATAAGTTTGTTGGTATTCTATTCTTTGTTTTTGCGCTAATTTATTAGCTCTCCATATTTGTTGAATAGTTATAGATGATTTTCTTAAAGCTAAATAACGTTCTTTTTGTTCGTTTCCTAATTTTTTAGCTCTCCATAAGGCTTGAACTGATAAAGTAGCTTTCCGCATTGATAAATAATTGTTTCTAGCATTTCTAGCTAATTTATTAGCTCTCCATTGTCGTTGAACAAATAATGCACTCTTATAAGTTTGTTGGTATTCTATTCTTTGTTTCTGTGCTAATTTATTAGCTCTCCATACTTGTTGAATCGTTATAGCAGACTTTCTTAAAGCTAAATAACGTCCTCTTTGTTTGTTTCCTAACTTTTTAGCTCTCCATAACGCTTGAACCGATAAAGTAGCTTTACGCATCAATAAATAATCGTTTCTAGCATTTCTGGCTAATTTATTAGCTCTCCACTGCCGTTGAACAAATAGTACAGCCTTATAAGTTTGTTGGTATTCTAATCTTTGTTTTTGCGCTAATTTATTAGCTCTCCATACTTGTTGAATAGTTATAGTAGATTTTCTTAAAGCTAAATAACGTTCTTTTTGTTGTTTTCCTAATTTTATAGCTCTCCAAAACGCCTGAACTGATAAAGTAGCTTTCTGCATTAATAAATAATTGTTTCTAGCAATTCTAGCTAATTTATTAGCTCTCCACTGCCGTTGAACAAATAGTACAGACTTGTAAGTTTCTTGGTATTCCAATCTTTGTTTCTTCGCTATTTTATTCCCTCTCCAAATTTGTTGAATCGTTATAGCAGATTTCTTTAAAGCCGCATAACGTTCTTTTTGTTGTTTTCCCGCTGAATTAGCCCGCCATCTTATTTGAACGAATTTAACAGCTTTCATCAACGTAACATAATTATTTCTTGCTATAATCATAGATTGTTTGGCTCTGAATAATCGTTGAATTGTAACAGTGCATTGTAATAGTTCTCGATAGTGCTTACTGGTAATTTTCATTGATTGATTAGCTCTGTATCGTCTTTGAATGATTAGAGCAGCGTTTTTGACGGCATCGTAACGGTTTTTACAGTGTTGCATCGCTTTTTTTCGCTCTATACCCGCGTTTGGATTATATTAGCAGCATTTTTGAGGTCTAAATAGTTCTTTCTTTGTATTTTCATAGCTCTATTCGCTCTGAATCTAGTTTGGATTGTTATAGCAGCCGTTTTTAATCGATTGTAATCATTTCTGCATTGTCTCATGGCTAATAAGGCTCTAAATTTCGTTTGGACGGTTTATAGCGGCATTTTTGATGTTTCGATAGTTTTCTAAATCGACTTTCATTAATAATTTCGCTCTATATCTATCTTGTACTATTTTGGTGGTGTGTTTGAGAAGTAAATATTCTTTACGACATCGTGTGGCTTTAAAACATGCCTGGATTTTAATAGCGGCGTTTTTAATAGTTAAAAAGCGTTTTCGATTGACGTTAGCTCTATACTGTCTTTGAATAGTAATAGTAGCTCTTTTTAGCTCTTCGTATCGTTGTTTCTGCTCTATCATAAGCTTCTTTGCTCTAAATCTTCGTTGTATTACCATAGTTGCGTTTCTGATTTGTATAAAGCTAGTTCTGGTTTCTTTCATCATTATTTGAGCTCTGTATCGTTGTTGAATAGTGACACAAGATTCTTTAAGTAACTGGTAATTTTGTTTATCTTTTTTCATCATTTTCATAGCCGTGTAACGTTGTTCGACGATCAAAACTGTTTGTTTCAACTTTGTATATTCTTGACGGCAAATCTGCATCATTTTAATCGATCTATACCAATTCTGTATTTTGATTGTAGCCGATTTGAGTTCTCTATAGTTTCGTAGCGCTATTTTACCCTTAAATCTCTTTTGTACGTTAATCGCAGCCATTTTGATCTTCTGGTATTCGGATTTTTGTTTCCTACCTAAAAGAACGGCTCGCCATTTTTGTTGTATCGAAATTGTGCTGGATTTCAGCTTCTGATACCGTTCGAAATGGTATTTAGTTTGTTTTGTGGCTCGATATCTACGTTGTAAAGTTTCGGTTGCTGTTTTAATTTTCAAATACGATTTCCTTGCCAGGAACATCCGTACGTAGCTCTGGATTATTTTTGCGCTCTTGATGCGAGAAGTGTAGGCGTTTCTAACCAACCATCCTCGAGATAAGCGTTGAATTTGCTTGATAGTTTCTATTTGGTTGATGTAAACTTTTCGTTGCTTGTACATCTTGTAGAAACTTTGAATTTTAACAGCAGATTTGTATATTTTAATCTGTAGTAAATATATTTTCAATATCTCGGCGAATTTTAATAATTTGTTCGATAGTACTTGTCTTTTATACCAATTTTGTATCTTCCTAGCAGCGCTATTTCTATTATTTCGTATTCGTTCTAATTTTCTTCGTTTCAACACAACCGGTAAGCTTCTAAACCAGGTCTGAATTGTAGTTGCGTTTTTAACCATGAGGGGAGCTTCGAATTTGTAGATAATCTGCCATAAAAACGACATGGTTTTCTCGCGATGACCATCCACTATATCTTTCGGTGAAATATCGTACAATATTTTATAACCAGCTTTCTCTAAGGAATCGAATACCAGTTTCATATTATGAACTTTTTGTAATCTAGATATGGCTGGTACTCTCAAATTGCTCGTCAAATCTTCTTTCATCATGATTATCTCCATTACTTTAGTCAATCGAACGCCGTCTCTTAAATCCACACCTAAATTATTTACAGCATAATCGAACTCGTGAATGTAAGTTTGAATATGGCTGACTATGTAACCGGAAAACTTCAAAAATTTCGTTATATCTCCTACAGCGGAGAGTAATTCTCTAGCTAGCTTCAAAAGTAACTCCCTGCTTTCTTTTATAGCCCCATCTGTGCGGAATAAACAGGGATTGTGAGGTATGAGCTTCCTATTTTTAGCTTGATCCAGAAAATATACCAACACTATGTACTTCTTTATGAAAAACTTGTTGAATTCAGCCACGTATTTGGGGGTGTAAATGGATTTGTATTTCTTCAGCAAATAAGGATCTTTGAACAGCCTGTTGAGTATGAAAGTACCCAATCCGACTACATCTGAATTCGAATTAAGAGGAATGGTTTCGTTGTAAATCGTTTCAAGACCAATACGTAGCCACAATGGATTATAACTTAATATAGTCGACATAATGTCCGATTTGATAGCCAGATTCAAATGGACGTCCTTGTCTTGTCTGATGCTGAGCTTGCCTTTGTCGATGGCCAGCAAAACTTTCGATAAAACATCGTTCATTTCCTTGGATCTGAACAAATTTTGAGCCGATTTTCTAAGGTTGTTCAGTTTGGCGTTGACGTGGTACTTGTTGGAGATTTCTTCTTTGGTCGGTGCAGCTTCCACTTCTATCTTTTTGCATTCCTAGGAATCGATAGCAATAATAACAACGTACATGGTGTCCAGAAATAAATACATTAATTTTAAGTAATAAACAACTTGTGTATTTTGAAAAAAAAAAAAATAAAATAAAAATTGAAAAAATTGAGAAATAAAAAAAACATAATAGATGTCAGCATTCCAGATAATTTTTGTACTGTCTACAATATAATTTAAACATAATTCCTTAATATTTTGTTTATAAAAGGTATTTAATATTATAAATTGTTTTTAATACTCTGCATCTTATTTCGTTCAAACTGTCAATTACTTCTCTTTTTATTTTTACTGAGCCTGGGCCGATAACCTTTTAATGCTTGCTGATGAATCCTAATAAGGACGAAACAGGTCCCAAGTATGATTTTCTCCTTAGAAAGCAAAATCAAAGGTACAATGTTATTTTTTATCTCTATTATTCAACTTTTGATATAATGCAATGCCTGTTGCGGTAATAGCCTAGGGAGTAAACGTTTTTAAGAAAGAAATGATCACTTGTTGTTTGTGTGATACGGTCTTTAAGTTTTTCTCTTTTTTTCTTCATTATTTATTGCTAATATTTTGTTTAAAAAAGGTACAATAAAAAAATATTTATTACTAGCTGACACGATTTCGCTTAGCTAGAAATTTTCAAACATCAATTATTAATACTGAATAAGAGTTTTCGTTACTATATTTTTTGTTTTAGATATTTTCACTACATTAATCACAATTAGTTTGCTATTAAAGTATTAGAAAAATTTACTTTTCGAATTCTATCAATTAAATTACTTTTTCTACGTTCATACAAAAAACAAAACTTTATTGAACTATATTTAGTGAAAAAAACTGGTTCTTTATTGCACTAGTGCAATAAAAATTTTATTGCACTCATCTGTCATTTTACTACAGCGTTTTATGATCATGACAAACATAAATATTCAAATCAACGCCAAATATTTAGTCCAATTTCATTTTCTGTGTTACGTTTTAAAAACAATTGCATATTTTGTTATTTTCAATCATTTAATAAAAAAATGTATTTTATTAAAAATGTCATTACAAATTATGAACACAAACGTAAATAAATGCCTCAAACAAAGGTACACGGCTACTATGATTTGGATAATACAACTGCAGTTCTATAAAACATTTTTTGGTTTTTGCATGAACGTAGAAAAAATATTGTATGCAACTTGTGCAAAACGTGTTTATTGCACTCGACGTGTTGTCCAACTCGGCCTAACGACAATTTCACGTCGCGTGCAATAAACACTTACTTTTTGCACTTGTTGCATAAATAACTATTTTATTGGTACATTATATGCATGATTATTAATTTTTATTATTTTTCTTATCCTTACTAATTTTTACAAATTTTTACTAATTTCTGTCAACTTTTGCCAATTTTCACCAATTTTAAATAACTTTTACTAATTTTTACACTGATGTTTATTAATTTTTGCCAACTTTTGCTAATTTTCACCAATTTTAAATAATTTTTACTGATGTTTACTAATTTTTGCTAATTTTTACTAATTTTTACTGTTTTATCAATTTTTACTATTTTTTGTTAATTTTTACTAATTTTTGCAAATTTTTATTAATTAATTTTTATTGATTTTTATCAATTTTGATTTATTTTGATTTATTTCGATTTATTTCGACTTATTTCGATTTATTTTATTTATTTTTTATTTTTACGAAAAATTTTCCTCCAAAATTTACCCCAAACTGATTAAAATCCCCAAATTTGAGGGGAAATCCCCCAAATTTGAGGGGAAATCCCCCAAATTTGAGGGAAAATCCCCCAAATTTGAGGGAAATCCCCTGTTACACAGCATGAGAAAAATGATGGAAGCGAAAACTGAATAGCCATATTTAAAACTGTCATTGTCAAAACACAGAACAAAATAATGACCATAAACGCGTTCCGCAATATAAGCATGTTCAGAAATTACGTATATTTTCTGTTTAATTAATTAATTAATAAACTTCCACTTACTTGCCAAATTTTAGCCACATCGACGCCCCTATCTTCGGACAGCAACTCATCGGGCGGCGTCAATAAAGAATTCAACCACTTTTTGAAGTCTTTCTCCTGTCTATCTAACCACTCGTCGCTGACGTACAGTTGCGGCGTTATGAACGGATCCAACATATTCGTGGCGGCGAACAAAAACGGATTTTGTACGATCACGGCGTTAGAATCGGTCTTAGAAATGCTCGATATCGGCGTTTCTTTCACGTTTTCGATCGTAGTGTTGATCGGTCTTGTTAATTTTAAACCGGAAGTGTTTTTGCTGATCGTGAAAGCATTTCCTCCTTTTCTAGACCAGTTTTTCGGTCCCGTGAATCCCCCGCCTCGTTTCGCGTGGTTCGCCGTCAGATCCAAATCGGAGTTTTTCCTTTTTCGTTTGTTGTAAAAGGAAGATTCTTCTTCGATCGACCACAGGGGTTGTTTGAAATTATGAATCGGTTGCTGTTTTTGATCCAAAAATCTCGTATTGTTGATCGGAGATACGGTCGTTGATGCGGGACTCAAGCTGTCCAATTGCGCTATAGAAGAATCCTTCGTATAAGTCGCTCCGCTAACGTTTCCTTTAACGTACGTTTCCGAGCTCACGTTCAAATTAAGTTCCGGCGGTAGCTGGAAGGTCACCCTGTTCTTTTCCTTCCTCAGAGACATTATAGGATCTTTCGTGTAGGTCTCTGTACTCAAATTCCCTTTGACGTATGTCTCAAAGCTGATATTATCTTTGATGTACGTGTTGGAGGTCAAATTATGATCGGTCTCGTCGTTTTTGTTAATTCTTTCGGTTACAAATTGTTGGCGGTCGATTCTGGGCGACGTTCTGTTGGGAGTGAAAGAAAAAGATTCCATCTGCATCAATTTGTACTCGAATTCGTAGTTTAACGGCGAATCTGGCTTGCAGGATCTCTGTTTGAAATACGTGCCGAAAGAAACATCCGGAGTTAATTCGCGGGTGTTGTAAACAGCCAGCGGTGGGCGCTCTTTGGAAACTTGCGGTGTGGATATTTGAATCGGTTTAAGTGAACCGATTTCTAAGCTATCGTTGAAGTCTTCTATAGAATCGTCCTTTCGTTGAAACGTATAAGTGCCTCTTCTGTCGGCTTCGTTTAGAACGTATTTAGTTAGACCGCCATCAGGTGACATATTCTCTTTATTGTTTACTGCTTTTGGTGATAACGCAAAAGCTTTGGGCGGTGTGGTTTTCACACTTCTGATTTTCTTCGGAGATGGGGAATATTTCGTTGAGGATATTTTTGTTGGTCGATTTGTGTAGTATTTTTTTGTCGGCGATTTTTGGGGGGATTTTTTAGTGACCGCGCCACGTTTCGGTTTTTTGTCTGGTTTCTAAAATTGAAATTAGGAAAACAAAATAATAAATAGAGCAATGATAATTTTTATTAATAAGATATAAAAAAAAAACAAAAGTCTGTCAACCAGAGGATCTTTAATAGATTTAAAAAAAAATTATTAAGCTTGTAAGCCATTTATCTTCATGAAAATTAATGTTTGAGTACACAATAGATGATTTCAATGGAAGACATCTTGAAGTTGCAAGGCCATTGCGTCATCTATAAGTTTACATAACAACTAATAAAATAAAAAAGAAAACTGTAAATTATTATTTTGGCAATCTGTCTAAAGTTACGGCGGCGTCAGCATACATTTCTTCTTTTTTTCTTGCCTTCTTCTTTAGTTGTATGGGCTCAGTTTTCACTCTCACTATCGCCAAGATCTGGAATCTAGAGCTCTGTTCCAACATCTCACAAAACCGTAATATTACGGTCATCGTCATGCGCAGTAAAGTTTTTATTTATTGCGCATTACGATGACCGTAATATTATGGTTTTGTGTGTGTGTTGGAACATAGCTTTTATTTACATGGCTTGCTAAGCGCGCGTTAGGTCTTTATGTCTGATTTTTGTTAAAATAAAACCTTTTTTTAATGGGTGTCGACTGCATTACCCAACAAAACGGTTTGAATTTTTTCAGTATTTTTATTGACAATGAAGATATAAAAAAATATTTCGAGTAATATGTGTGTGTAAAATGAATATTATTTAATTCATCCGTTAAAACCTTACAGGAGTGTACAATAGTTTGTATAGAATAACCAAAACCTATGAAATAATCTACATAGGTAAAGGTCTGTATAGAAAAGCATCGGTTGGCATGAACTTACCTTATTAGGTGTTAGGGTATTTGAAAGAAAAGTTTTATACAATGTGTCCAATTTAAGTCGGCGCACCATATATGGGAAACTTTTTTATTGTTAGTTTTATAGAAAAAAAGTATTCTTTATTAAAAGTTATACATGGCCTAAAGCTGAAAATACAATCATCAGATATTAAATTTTTGAGTCGTGGTGCATCAAAAAATATAAATTTTGTTCAAGACTAATTATAAGTACCTTTATTTTTGACGACTGATAAAATTTGTTTTATGTTTTTACAAATTTTGACATGACACATGACTAAGAAAAAGAAGACTCTGGGGCACTAAGTAGATAGAGATGGTGAAAAACTGAGCACATACAACTAATGAAAAACCGACGCCGTAACCTTAAACAGATTGCCAAAATAATAATTTACAGTTTTCTTTTTTATTTTATTAGTTATTATGTAAACTTATAGATTACGCAAAGATCTTTCAATATCCTTGCAACTTCAAGATGTCTTCCATTGAAATCATGAAATATATATATACATTATATAAAATGACTCACAGAAAAAGTGAGAGAATTCTGTTGGGACGAAGATTGTCAAACTGTCTTTGAAACATTAAAAAAGCGCCAATACTAGGCTACTCACTACCAGAGGGAGAATTTATTCTGGATACTGATGCCAGTAATGTGGGAATTGGAGGAGCTTACACAAATTCAAGGGCGGGAAGAAAAAGTACTAGGTTCTTTTAGTAAAGTGCTCTCGAAACATGAGCAAAATTACTGCGTCACGCAGTTGTGAAATGTGTGGAACCCTTTTTAACCGACTTCAAAAAAAGGAGGAGGTTCTCAATTCGTAGCGATTTTTTTTTTATGTATGTTCAGCGATAATTCTTCAACACCGTGTCCGATTTCAATAATTCTTTTTTTGTTAGAAAGGGGGTACTTCAGGGGTGGTCCCATATAAATTTGGTCAAAATATAATAATTGGGTCTGTGAGAAAATCCTCAAACTCTTAATGTTTTATGTATGTTTAGAGATAATGCTTTACCACCTTGTCCGATTTATATGATTCTTTTTTTGTTAGTAAGGGGATACCTCAGGGGTGGTCCCATATAAATTTGGTTAAGATGTGGTGACGGCATCTGCACGTTTTTGAAGTAGGTTTTTTTAAATTTTTAATTTCTAATACTTGTACTAATACCTATATGGAAGAAAATTCTTAATTTTATTTGTAAAGCCAATTTTTTTCTAAAAGTTTTATATTTCAAGAGCCTAAAACACAGTTGTTTTCAGAAAAACCTTTAAAAACTGAAGTGCTCTACTTCCCTTGCTCAAAGTTAGCAAAACACTTTGTTTTATTTAAAAACAGCAATTTTTTAGAAAAGTTTAATAATTCAATAGCCTAAAATTAGCCTAAAAATGTGATGATGGTTGTTTTTAGGAAAAAGTTTTAAAAAACCATGCTACTCTGCTGAAATCGTTCGAAGCTAGCAATGCACCCCATATTTTTTAAAAATACCAATTGTTTTTTAAAAGTTTTATAATTCAAGAGCCTTTAATTAGCCTAAAAATATGATGTGGTTGTTCAAAGCACCTTTAATTTTTGTAGAAAGGAAATAAAATTATTGAATAGGATGTAAAAATCATAAAAATTACCTTAACATAATAATTAAAAACAATGAATTATTCAAATAATATAAAGATGAAGGTAAAAAAATATAGATCTTAAATAAAATTAAAAATAATAACTAAAAATATATGACTTATTGAAATAATGGAAAAAAATATCTTTTAAATAAAATATAAGTAAAAATAATTAAAATAAATGAAAAATCTCTTTACCTTAGGTGAAATACTTTTAAAAATTATAGATACATCTATGTGAGTTTTTCTAGTTGTCTCGAAACTAATTTTGTGATATGAAGACTCTTGACAAGTTGGTCTCCAGATTATTTCAAATAAAACTTCAGATTCCTTCTCTATAGTTTGACTTTCCCAGCTATAAGTAACATTTAGTTCGTCTGGCACCTTTTTCGTCAAGAAAATCTATAAAAATACAAAATAAATCAAATACTTTTGTTTTTAAATGCTATATTTCAGTTAAAGATCATACTAACGGTCAGACTTTGTTTTGTAGGATTTTTTACTAGTAACTTGCATGTGGCTGTTTCTCCAACAACAACTCTGTCAAAGAATAGTTTTGGGGATGGGGCAAAAGGGGCCAAAGATAAAACTTCAATTATTTCTGGCTCTGGTTCTTTTTTTACTAGTTTTGGCACCTTTTCCCTCCTTACAGGAGAAATCTAAAATATAATAACAATAAAAATATGTCACAGTAATGAGTATAATATTAGATCTTAAATGATACAAAGGGAAAATAATTATTTAATACAAAAGAGCACAATTTTAATACATTCCAAATATATTCAGCAATTTTCCTAGCTTCAAAAATTGTTATATTATGTAAGGCATGCAGAAATAAGCAACAGATAAAGTAAGTGAAAAATAGTTTATTTTTTATGAGTATTATACACAATACAATCTAGTCAGAATCAATAACATATCCAATACAATTTAATTCTAAAATGATCGGACATACACAAATGACCAAGGGTTACCTGGATCTGTAATTTTGGTTTCAAGAAGTAGGAAAAAAAATTATACAAATTCATAAAAGGATAACAAGAGTAACGAGAAATACGTAAAATAATTCAACAACAAATGTTTCATATGAATTAAGGATGCTTTAAATTGTTCTATATACATATATAAACATAATCAATCTCCATAAATAACTTTTACATCTGTATCACACATTATTGATCAAAACAAATCTTTGGATAGCAATGCTTATCCACTGTCGTTATTTTTTGTATCAAGTTAAGGGACATTTTAAAAATATTAAATGCAAACTGAACTTTTTCCAATACATCTAAGTATCTTAGGCTCTAAACAGAAAATACAAATAAACAAAACATTAAGGGCAATTGACTCAATTTGATTCTAGGGTGCCAAATAACACAATATCAATTCATGAAAGAACATTAGTACATTTCTTGTTATTAAATTTATAATCTTAACAATCAAACCATTAAACACGTCTCTTTGAGAAATTCTTTTATAGAAGACATATTATAAATTATTTGTACCCATCCTAAAGTTTAGATATATTTTTTATACATTATTTAATAAAAATGAACAGTTTAGCAAGCTTATTCTATAGTCAAATTGTTACAAACTTTGTGGTACATTTCAAAATACTTCGCTTTTGAATTTATGAACTAAAAAAATGACTTACTTGAAAAAACATCGTGCTTATGAATATTTCTATTTAATCCATAATAAAATTGTAACAGCATTAATAACTAAAATAAATTAGGTAATAAAAAAATCACTGACTGTTTTTGTATGTATGGATTTGATCTTTTTAAATTTAACGGAATTTTATGTCATTTCGATTTTCGACAGGAGTACCAACTTTATTGCAAATACATTTGAACTAATGAAGTTTGTTCGTTTGTACAGAAATCGGCATTTTATCAAAAATTGATTAAATATTTTAAATTTGTTTATATATTGTTAGTAATAATTGACCATTTTACTGTTTGTATAAGAAATAACATTAATATGACACGTTCAGTTTTCGTTTTCGAATAGTTACCTAAAGTTATTTAATTAAATTACACTTTTCTAAAATAATTATAAACGCTTTTTTAGAGACTCCAACATAAAAACTGATTTTAAGAAGTTATTAAATGGTTTTTATTAAAATTAATCGTATTTTTGTTGATATGTTATAGTTTAAATTAAAAAACTGACACGGAACACGATATTTAAAAAGGGCTGCATGCGGCGTTGTCATATCTTGTTTTTGTAATCTACGTTCTGTTGGTAAATAATTTATTTTTGAATTTTTTGTAAATGTACAGTTTTCCTCTCAAACGGCATATTGTGGACCACTTAAGAATTGATTTTATATTAGATATCTTTAAAGTTTTTGAATGACTCTTAATTAATTGAGGTGATACAGAAAAATGCAACGAACTGTTCGTTTTGCCAGATTTTTATAGAATTTCTAATGAGGTATCCACTAAAAACCATTGAAGTATATACGTTCTAGTTACAGTTTTATATGTTTTTAATTTTTCTAATAACCCTTTTATACCTCCGATAATTGAAATATTATGCAATATGTTAAAATTATTACACGTTTTATTTCAGCTAGACTTTTTTATTATTACCGTTTTCAAAACAAAAAAAAACATTTTATTTACTTTATTTTGGATGTTTACTACCTACAAGTTCAAACAATAATAAATATCGGATACCTACACAATTATTAAATTCTCGCACGTTTTTAATTTATAGATCAATATTTTTTTTGTCGACTTCGAAATAATTAATGTAATAGGTAGGTTGGGAAGGTATACGTTTTATGTTTATAAACTTTCTTATATAACCAAATTCAATGTTATTGCTTTCATATTTTGCACTTCAAGTGACTCCCAAGTAAACGTAAAAAAAATGGCAAGTCACACTACACAATATTATATTATATATCATTGATGGGTAATTTATAAAATAAACCGTCGGCTCCAGGAATCACGTGGTATGTTATTAATTTTTCCACGTTACTTCAAACGTGATCTTTCATTGGGATCATGTGCAACGCGAGAGTTTTCAAGCAAAGAAATACGTAACGACATTTTTATTTACTGCACAGGATTTGTATGAAAATAACACAAGATAAAATTACGTGTTTATCTGTTAAATGTTCGATTCTGGAATAAATTCATAATGGAAATTAATTCAATTTTACGCAGGGTAGTTATTTTTAATCGAATTATACCTGGATCTAAATTAATGATTAAATGATGATGGTTGAAGATACCTATGATAAAAGTCACGTAGTCCAGTTATAGGCCAATAAAATTCACGAAAATTTGAATTATTGTAAATAATCAAATAAGGGATACAAATTATTATCGATAATTTTTTGAAATGCCAGCACAAACGAAGAAAAAGCAAAAAATGCGAAACCACCAGTTTTATTTTTCAAATATTGGCACTGTTATGAGTTGGAATTTCAAAAAAAATATGAGTATATATATATATATATATATATATATATATATATATATATATATATATATATATATATTTATCAAGTGTATCACGAAATTAAATTTGTATAGAGAATATACAGGGTGTTCATTTGAAAACATCCCACCCTTAATATCTTCCTTCTAGTAAATAATATGAAAAATCTGAAAGACTCGTCACAGAGGAAGATATGTCACCCTTACAATCATAAATGGGGAAGGGAAGGGGTCATGTGGCACATCATTTTAAATATACTTTTATGCAGAATTCAGTAATATGACTATTCATTGTGTTACTTTTGATTTTAACGCTCTCTAGCGACTTAAAAAACTGACAAAACGGGTGGCCCAGTCCAGTTTAATTCCACGATATGAGAAAATGTTCAGTGATTTGCTTAAATTTAATACTAATAAAAAAAATTAATAACGAAGATATACGAGTTTTATTTATTTTTATCTTTTACCTATGATTGTCTTATTTTTACTTAGGGTACCCAGACAACACACCAAACCCCAGAGATATCCACAGAATATCTTTTGTATGTGTAATATCCAAATGTCCGTCTATATCCAGAATATAGAAGATATCCTAATGGATATCCAGCAAAATATCTAATGGGTATCTTCCAGAAAATACAAGAAATCCACAGAATATATTTTGTGGATATTCAATATATCCAATATGGATATCCAACCAAATGTCCGTCTACCCAGACAACACACCAAATCCCAAAGATATCCACAGAATATCTTTTGTGGATATCCAATATATCCACAGGATATCAGAAATATTCCGTGGATCTAATATGGATATCCAAATGTCCGTCTATATCCAGAATATAGAAGATATCCTATGGATATTCAGCAAAATATCTAATTAGTATCTTCCAGACAATACAAGAAATCCCAGAGATATCCACAGAATATATTTTGTGGATATCCAATATCCAAATCCAACCAAATGTCCGTCGTATATCCCAGGATATAGAATTCAGATATTCAGCAAAATATTTTATAGGTATCTTTAGTAGACATTCATAAGTAACCAAATGAATGATAACGTCGAAAGAAAATAGAGATAAAAAATATTTCCAACAATCTGTCTTTGAGTTTGCCCACTAAGGAAAAAGTCATCCTTATTAGGACTCTTCAGCAATAAATGGAAATTCTCGACTCCAATCTCTAATAGAGTCTTAATGAGAAAAAAATGTTCGATCAACTCAATTATGGCGGGTTGAGCATGAGTAGATACGAAAGTGGTATCGCCATCTATACTTAGGAAGCAAAATCAAAAATTACATCTAGTAGTTATCCACGATGGTTTGCGTCCGCGCTAAGACTTTGATATATGTGGATGTCCATGGGATATTGAATACACCTTAAAAAAATTAATTTTAAATATCTGAACGGTACTATTAGCCACAATGGCGAGCACAATGGCGTAATTTTTTAATAATTTGCTATATAATTACTATTATTTATGGACATTTGCATGTCTATAAATTACATTTTATGGATATAAAATAGATATCCACCATGGACTGGACATTCAGTGGATATTGGGATGTTCAGTAGATATCCAAAGGATTTGGTGTGCTGTCTGGGTATATCTCACGATATAGAAGATATTCGGATATTCAGCAACATATTTTATCTTTAGTAGAGGTTCATAAGTAACCAATGATTATTGAATAACGTCGAAAGAAAATAGCAGAGATAAAAAATATTTTCAACACTCAAAATATGTTCAACACTCTGCCTTTGATTTTGCCCACTAATGAGAAAGTCATCCTTATTAGGACTCTTCAGCAATAAATGGAAATTCTCGACTCCAGTCTCTAATGGAGTCTGATTAGGACACAAATTTCGATCGAACTCAATTACGGCGGGTCGAGCATGAGTAGATGCGAAAGTGGTATCGCCATCTATACTTAGTAAGCAAAATCAAATAACATCTAGTGGATATCCACGATGGTTTGCGTTCGCGCCTAGACTTTGATATATTTAGTGGATGTCCATGGGATAATGAATACACCTTAAAAAAATTAATTTTAAATATCTGAACGGTACTATTAGCCACAATGGCGAGCACAATGGCGTAATTTTTTAATAATTTGCTAAATAATTACTATTATTTATGGACATTTGCATGTCTATAAATTACATATCATGGATATAAAATAGACATCCACCATAGACTGGACATTCAGTGGATATTGGGATGTGCAGCAGATATCCAAAGGATTTGGTGTGCTGTCTGGTTAGAGTAGAGGGTGTCATGGAAAATGTTGTTTAATCACTGGAAAAAAGAGTCGAAAGTTGGAAAACTTTGGGAACGACTGTACTTGAGGTTTAAACATTTTAAATTTAAATAATATCAATACAGAAAATAATTTTTCATTTACATCAGAAGAGTTTGATTTTTTGATTTGATTTTTTGATTTGATTTTTTGATTTGATTTTTTGATTTGATTTTTTTGCTACTAATACGTATCTTATCAACATTATTTTAAGTTACATAAAAATCGTATTGAAAACGTTGTTAACTAAAAATATACGTTATTTCAATATTAAATAATTAACTATATTTAAATATTATTTTTAAACGTTTTTATGTAACCAATAGTGCTGTAGAGCTGCAGAACTGCCAAAAAATGCAAGTATCTCATGTACATTTCACAGAAATTATTTTAAACATTCTAATATATATTTTATGAATAATCTTATTAATTTTAAATATTAAATAGTATCCATAACGCGAGAACGCATCCTACTGTCAGTTCATAGCTAAAAATAAGTCCAAATATCTTTTGGATCTGGTCTTTCCATTGGACTAACAACATCGGTCATGACAAGCATAATTTAAAAACATTCCCTTGTGAAATTCAAGAAACTAGAATTTTGCCAGGGATATTTTAAGTTGTCTTGATAGCACTACAGGAAACAAATACTTGAATATGACTAGATGACATAATCTGCGTCTGATCACAAGCATTCTGACTGGTCATTGCCAAGTACGAAAGCATTTACATATCATGTAGGCTAGCTCACGAGCTAGGAGGTGTCTATCTACTTAGGAGGATCCACAATGGGCCTAGAGAGATCTAAGTGTCGTCAGTAACCCATCCTCTACACGTTACAGATACAGATTATAGCTGGGTCGCTTCGAGAGGCCATGTATACTACTTAGGCCTCCAACGCTTATCGTCTACCTTCCCGTGACTATATATTACCTATTTTATATTATTATAGACAGGTTATAGAATTATCAGAATAAAAATAATGAACGTGTTAATTGGCTTATTTAAGTCTAACTAGACCATTATAAGCCATCTTACAGATGTCTGATTTATGGCTTATGCATGGCTTCACAAGACCATTAAGCTATTAATAAGTCGTTTTTAAGACGTCTTATTTAAGGCTTCATAAGACTATTATAAACTATTAATAAGTCGTCTTATTTTTGGCTTATTTAAGGATTTACAAGACCATTACAAGTTATTAATAAGTCGTCTTAAAGAAGCCTTGTTTATAGCTTATTTAAAGCTTCACAAGACCATTATAAGCCATTAATAAGACGTCTTATTTATGGTTTATTTAAGGCTTCACAGGATCATTATAAGCTATTAATAAGTCGTTTTAAAGACGTCTTATTTATGGCTTAATTAAGACGTCACAAGTCTATTGGAAGCTGTTAATAAGTCGTCTTAAAGACTTCTCATTTATGGCTTATTTAAGGATTTACAAGACCATTATAAGCTATTAATAACCCAAATAGCACACATAGCCCAATGGACGTCCATTTTAGATCTATTTGAGGGCCAGAACGTCCATATCCGTATTCGAACATCCAGTGTACGTCCGTTTACGATCATTAATTTGGCAGCCGTATTTCGATGTCCATAGGACGTCTGTTTTTGGACTTAATTTTAAGTTTAGTAATATTTTGACGTCCAGTGGACGTCCATCTTAGTTCATTATTTATTTAACCTACCCGATAATACCCATTTATATACACTTCCTTTTTTTTAATAGAATTAGTCATTAAAAATTGACAAATTGAATCTATTACATTTCATTCTATCAGCGGAAGTTTGAAATCTTATTCTATTAATACCGTATATCTAGTAAGAATTTTTTAAGTGGCTCCGTGGTCGAGGTCGCCTAGCGCTTGAATGCCCAGAAAGACAATGGACCTGTCATGAGTTCGATACCTACTCTGGTCAAGTGATTTTTAATTAAAAAAATTAATAATAAATGGTGTATAGCGGGTTGCAAAAATATTAGATAAATTATTAATAATATAAAATATAGTGTATGGTGAGTTGCGGTTGCGTAAAAAAAGTAGGGATGTGGTCTCACAATGGTATATAATCCAGAATTGGACGTCCTATGAACGGTCAAAAGTGTGCCATTTGTATACTTCACTGGACGTCCATTGGACGTCGGAAGTCCAGAAAAAACTTATCTTTGGACGTCTAGACATCCAAAATTGTATATCGAATGGACGTCCAATGGACCTAGTTGTGCTGTCTGGAAAGTCACCTTAAAGACGTCTTATTTACGGCTAATTTTAAGCTCTACAGACCAATATAAGCCATTAATAAGACGTCTTAAAGACGTCCCCTTTTGTAACATCAGACGTCTTCTAAGACGTTTTTTCGGAAATACCAGACGTCTCACATATCTTATGCTAGACGTCTTTGTGCTATCTGATTCACATTCTAAAATATTCGCATATATCATTAAGGGATAAATGTACTAAGGACCGATCCCACCGTTGTGTTAAACGAAGTTTAAAATGACATTTTTTCATTAACAATGTCATTTTAATCTCCGTTTAACACAACGGTGGAATCTGTCCTTAAATACCTAAATATATACTTTTAAACTATTAAATCTTTAATAAGGTATAACTAATTAAATTGTGTAGCGCTCACATATTTTCGAATTATACAAATATGACCACTCTTTTATCGAACAGGCGCTTTGATTGATAAAAATATTTAATTAACCGAACCAAAAAATATACGTAATTACAATTATCGCCATAAATATAATATTATCGCTAAACAAATTGATATTTTCATTGAATAAATAATATTTGTTTTGGTAATTTTTTGTTTGTTCAAACGTATAATGTTCCAATTTTCCCGAGCTATTAATCGAAAGAAGACAGAAGGTAAGAAATACGTCTGAGATCGATCGAGCGACTCACGTGTACAACAGTGCGTTTGTCGCCAGCTATCAGTTCCGCAGTCATCTTGTTCGAGAGCAGGGAGTTACGAACAAGTGTTTTACTGCACAACACCTGTCAAAATTTTCTGTAAACATTTCGAAGACAAATATTTTGATATCGTGGAATTAATACGTACTTATATTGTTGATTGTTTTTTTATATAATTTTGTGAGTGCGTTAATCTGAAAACATTTCTCGAAATGGATATAACACCGACGTATTGGGAGGAAAATTCAAATATACAACGTGTGAAATACGAAAGGTAAATATCACTTTAATTTCGGAAACAAATAATTATTTTATACATTGTTGATAGTGATTACTGTGTAGCCAACTAGATAAAATATTAGTGACGTAAATTATTCCACTCATTTTTATATTTACACTCTCTCAAATGTGTGCTATTAATAAACTCGATTCAAATTATTTACGAATTGCCACACGTTTTTAAACATCTGATACAACTTGGATGTAAAAAATGTAAATGAATAATAGTTTTTAGTAATGAGGCCAACTAGGTATATACGTACAAATTACCTAAAAGTGTTTACATGTAACAATATGTTTACGCATTTAAAATCAATGTTTAGGATTTTAAGTTACAATCGGTAATGTAGGATGCGATATATTTCCAATTAAATATTGTTGGAAGACCCCAAAAAAGGCAACTGCATTTTTTAAATGCAAGAGTAAATCTATGTATTTTATTTGTATAAGTATATGTAAAAATATTAGCCCTAGCTGTCACATATGTAGGGTCGAAATATCTCACGAAAAAATTCGATCCAGCCTCTTACTTAAATGTAACTTCTTTAATAATAAATTTATTTTTATTGAAATTTTTTTGGAATAAAATATATTAAATATCTATTGTAAACGTCTCAAATATTATATGACATAATTTTAAGACAGAACTACTAAATAAAAAAACAGGTGAGTGAGCTGACTGGAATATGAGACACATTTTTGACTTATGGATAAAGTGTGTAGGGTGTAGAATACTTTAAAATTGTTAAAAAAATTTTTCTGAAATAAATATGTAAGCAGTAATAACATTTATGCATACTTATCGTTTTAATTTTTTTTTCTAAATCTGAATTTAAAATCTGTATCTTTATTGCCATCTCCTGACAAACAACAGGAACGCCACTGGTTATCGGTCCTTGTAAATGCTGTGTTGCCAGACGTAGAAAAATTACGAGGTTTTACCTACCGTAAAAAATTCAACTGGCGGCTACTGATGACGTAATAAAACATTGTAATTAAATCAGAGATAACCAGGAGATGTAACTACTAACAAATATCGTGCGGCCCTGAATAAGACATATTGACAACCTCTGTTATTTTTAACAGGTCTGTTATTTTATAAACACACAGAAATCACAACCTGGACAGGGATTCTTATGTGCGTACTCAACACGTAACGAATAAAATAGAGAGAGACATTACATACAAATCGCATTCTGTGGAACAAAGATAGAAGCTTCTCAACACGTGCCGAATTGAAAGATGAGAGTTCCACTGCTGTTTACAAATAACGTGTCTGTTAAAAATAACACTACTTGTCCATCATAACCCCTATATTCTAAGGCATACAGTAGGGTACACATACTTTGAGTGCCTTTTAAAAGGAGATAGAAAACTCTGCCATTTTGAACCCTTATTACGTGTTGCCTACATCTTGGCGCAATATTTTTAATGGGTGCGTTTTAATCATCCGCTTCTGCTTCGGAATTGTCAGTTTTCTTGTTTTAATCTGACAGGTTAAAACGACTAAACCGACAATTTCGGAAGCAGAAGCGGATGATTAAAACGCACCTGATATTTTGCTTGCTGCTGTCAGTGTCAGTGAATATTATTTTTTAAGTCACAGTTTATTGCTAAAGAATCAGTTAGCTCACTCGGACCAGTTGAAAGTTCCAAAATAACATCCACTCCAGGGATACAAATTCAGGATACGCAGAAGACTGTTGTTTTCTTATAGGCGGTTGTCATGTATTGTATTATCCGAGTTGCACAGTGTATAAACTAAAACATTGAGATCCAAAGTGCCGACGTAGAGTGAGCGATCTGATTCTTTAGCTGTAAACTGTGTCACAGGGTTCGAAATGGCCGCGCCCTATGTTGGGCGTGTCGGACCTCTCTCTTGCCTCGTATAGTAATCAAAGTATGTGGGTATAAACTGAAACATTGAGATCAAAAGTGCCGACGCAGAGTGAGCGATCTGATTCTTTAGCTGTAAACTGTGTCACAGGGTTCAAAATGGCCGCGCCCTATGTTGGGCGTGTCGGACCTCTCTCTTGCCTCGTATAGTAATCAAAGTATGTGGTAGGATATAATATCCGCTGTTGTCATATTAGTAAAGTGTACGTATTAAAATATTCGCTCAAGAAAACGATTTACCTCCCACTCTTTTGTCACTAACTGAATTTTTCACAGATGAAAGGTCATGATAAGGTAACCCTTATTCCGGAGGTAATACAAAATTAGACTGTGCAGAAGGGCACTATCATCAAAAATCCAGATATTGATACCACTGAATAGAGAAAAAATGCTCATTTTTTGGTCAAATGCACAATAAAATCTTTGTAGGGAGTAATTGTTTATACTTATTTCAAAAAAATCATTTGCATTAGCACTTACGGCCGAAAAAAAAATATAAACGTAAATATCTTGGTTTTAGCCCTTCAAAAATTTAGTTAAAAAGTCGTCTTTTTTAAATATACCACTCATTTAACAAAAAACGAAGGCCTAAATGAAAAAAAAAATCTTTATAAAATTTTTGCTTATGTGTTGACAAGATAACAGAGTAAACACCATATTTTTTGCTTTTGAATTAACAAAGATATAACAATAAACGATGAGAGATGTCATAGGTTTACGCTGTAATTAATTGTCACCGCCAATTTTATCGACTCTGTGTAAGGTTTTTTTTTTTTAATTTTTTCGACAATAAACATTTTAAAATGAGCAATAATATTTTTTTAGTTGTAACTCCCACGATGAATCTTCTAGAATGAAAGACGATAGGGGAGTGTATAATTGTTGCGATACGTAAGTATCTTGTTTTTCTGATAGTAAAAAACTCCATATTTTTGATCCTAAATCATTATTGTTTGCGTTATAACTATAACATCTTGGCTTTTAATAATCCATCATCAACATTTTTTTTTTAACATGTACGTATCTACCTATTTTTAGAGTTTCAAATATTCTTAATTTTCAGGAATTTGAATTTTTCTACAGCCACTTGTAGTGAAGATGACTGTGAATATGGGCCATACAAAAAAAATAAAGTAGCAAGGGTAAGTTTCTACGGGTTCTATGTTATACGGCACCTTTTTCAACCACAAATAAAAATTTTAGGTTAGGTGTTATTTTTTTTTATAATAAAACAAAAATTGTAGGTCATAAACTTACATTTACAGGGTGGGCCACAAGTAATGACTGAATAAAAACTTTTAAAATATAAAATGTAACGGGTGGGCCATGAATATGTTGAATTGTAAACTGCGTGTTATTAATAAAGTTGACCATTTGACTGTCATTAATTGTTGACAGTGATTTAGTGTTATCCTTCCGCTAACCGAATATGCATCGCTTTAGTCTAGATCAACGTTTTGAAAGACTCAAAACTTATTTTGAGTGTGACTCTGTGGTTGCCGAGACAACGCGAAAATTACGTACAAAGTTTGGAAGAAATGAGGCGCCTTCAAACCAAGGAATTAAGAATTTTATTGATAACGTTCTAAAAACTGGAATGCTGGTGGACGTAAAACATGTTCCGCATGCTCATCCTAGACGTACACCTGAAGTAATCGCTGCTGTAGCCGAAAGTGTGCACCTTAACGCGTCAACATCAACTCGGCGCAGAAGTCAATATCTTGGCCTTTCCCGTACTACTCTGAGGAGGATTCTGCACAAAGACCTCGGTATGTTTGCGTACAAAGTCCAGCTCGTTCAGGACTTGAAGCAAGTTGACCATCCACACCGTTTTCGCTTCGCCTAGAGGGCTCTAAACCAGTTGAACGATGACCCTGATTTTGCAAGAAAAATCGTCTTTTCGGATGAGGCGCATTTTCACATCGGAGGTTATGTTAATAAACAAAACTCAAGGATTTGGGCACAGGCCTGTCACTCCCTATACTTCCCATGTAAAATTCTGTCCCAAATCTCAATGACCTCGGTACTTCTTCCCTATTGGTCTGGGGTATTATTGACAAGTCTGGGGTCACCAATCAGCACGTTGGTTGCTGACACATGAGAAAAATGACATCTAAAAGTAAAAAATATACAGGTTTTAAGCCACTTGAAGACAAAATTAGTGTGGCTATTACAAAATTTATGTTTTTTTTTTGTTTTTAAAATAATGTTGACCTCGATATCTCCTCCCTATTGGTCTGGAGCTTTTTTGACAAGTCTGGCGTCACCAATCAGAACGTTGGGTACTGTCAAATAAAAAAATGAAATTTAGAAAATTGATCAGTATTTTGTCATTTTTCACTGCACAGATCTTCATGATGTAATTTGTATTAAAAATACAGATAATACAAAATTCGATTATAAATAAATGTTTATGTAATATGATACTTGTTATTTTATCTATTTTTTATAGTGTTTTAAGCTCTAATGTTTTTGGGAGTGGGTCAGGTTATTAAATAACTCGTATTACTTTGAAAAAGAATGTTGGGCACCACTAACCGTTACAAAACCAAAAAGAGAAATGATCAAAAAGCTAGGTTATATTAGATTAGATATATATTTACCTGCGTAAATATTTTAAATTTTCAAGGTCACAGACTTTTAGATCGATTGACATTTGAGTGCGATCTCTTGTGTTAACTATACTCTTTGATTTGGGGCACGGAAAATCCACACGTCGTCGTAACAAAGCCCATGCATCCATATCGAGTCACTGTGTGGTGTGGATTTTGGAGTGGCGGCGTGATTGGACCCTTTTTCTTTGAAAATGAGGCTGGCCGCGCCGTTTCGATTAATAGCGAGCTCTATCGAGATATGATAACGAACTTTTTGTGGCAGGAATCATGGAATTGCAGGAATTGGATGATATCAATCTCGATCGGGTCTGGTTTCAAGAAGACAGCGCAACTTGCCATACCGCCGTGGCCACCATCAATCTTTTGCGCACAAAATTTCATAATCGTGTAATTAGCCGTTTCGGAGATGTTAATTGGCTACCTCGGAGCTGCGATTTAACACCACTCGACTTCTTTCTTTGAGGCGCATTGAAGGATAAAGTTTATGTGGATAATCCTCAAACATTTGAGCGCTTAAAACAGAACATTCAAGCTCAAATTGCTCAAATAGAGCAGCAAACTGTTGAAAAACTGCTTGAAAATTGGTGTTCCAGGATGGACTACTGCCAAGCCAGTCGAGGTGGTCACTTAAATGAAATAATTTTCCATACTTAATCGGAAGAAATATTGTATTAAATAAAGTTAAATTTGTTGGAAAAAATTTAATTTTTCTTATCCTCATTGTTAATTTATAATTCAACATATAAATGGCCCACCCTTTAGAATACTTCTTGTCCAAAAATAGGACCTTAATATGCAGCCCTTATTACCGTCTATTAAAAAAATACTATTAGATACGAGGGGTAATTTTATTAGAAAAATATTCCCAAAGAATTTCATATAAATTTACCTCTCAGTTTGATATTAAGATTGTTTATGAAGTATAGCCAAAATGTTAAAAAAAAAACAATCAATGTTTTCTATACATAAATTGTGATCAAAACTGTTTGGTTTTCTAATTTTTGGTTCAGAATACTCAGTGGCCGGATGATTTTAGCTTAACAATTCGGGGTTGGACATTAACGTAAAAGACTTAGAAGGTATATTTTGTTGCTAGCAAGATCCGATGTCCCATCGAATTATAGAGAAAAGGAGACGAGATAGAATGAACAATTGTCTAGCGGATTTGTCCAGACTGATACCCACGGAATATTTGAAGAAAGGACGAGGAAGAATCGAAAAAACTGAAATTATCGAGATGGCCATTAAACATATGAAATATTTGCAACAGGAACATGGGAATCCCACGGAACATTATCGGTGAGCTTAAAATATTGTTTTTCTATAGTAGTATTTATATCTCGGTTCTGAAAGTTTGTAAATTGACGTCATTCAAATCATATTACCATATAGTGTAGTGTATGTAATTAAATTCATTATTAAAATACAACTAGAGCCTAATTTTCAATATATATTTATTATTATCATTTATTACTTAGAAATACAAAAAAAAAACAAATTTGCAGGTTTACTTTAAGTTAGGCACTGAAAAAAAAAACAATTTAAACAATTAATTATTTATCTTTAACGTCTTTTTATAAACTTAACTTCTCCGACAGCATACAGCCTATTTATACAAAAATGCTGCCACCGCACTATTCTCGAAGTAGTAGATGAGCTCTGGCAACACTTCCGGCGTTCTACAGCATTGGCTTCCGAACCTTTACAATTTAAATAGGAAAATACCATGGATTACACATCATTGAAACGGTAACTTTACGGAGAATTCAGCAATGCTATTCATTACGTTACTTTTGATTTTAGCGCCCTCTAGCGGGATACAAAAACATACCTATTGTGAAGTGTACCACATCACATTAATGTAAATGTCTCCATATTATATTTGCAACAGTCTGAAAATTAGTCATTTCTTGCCAACTTTATTTTGTTACAAGTGCAATATGGAGATATTTAGATTAATGTTATGTGGTGCACTGAGTTATTAATAAAATTAGCTTTCAAATGAAGTGTCACATTTTATAAGTAAGTTTTTATCTAGCTAGAGGAGGCTAAAATCAAAAGTAACGCTTTAAATAGTCTTAATGCCGAATTTTTCATCAAATTATCGTTTCAATGATGTTTTATCTATGGCAGTTTTCCTATTTAAATAGTAGGGGATGTTCATACTATTGCAGGGTTGAAATGACGATGCTGCAAACTAAAATCGACCTATTCGAGCATTTTTTAATATTCACGATATTGTTATCTAAAAGCTCTATAAAAAACTATTATAAATCTATAAAAATCTGTAAAAATTTATAAAATCTATAAAAATATATAAAAAACATATTGTTCTGACTTTGCCACAGCAATACAGCCTATTTATATAAAAAGGTGAAAGATCTCGAATGTTCCACCAATTTTCTCGAATATATCAGAATATTGCGTGTCCACCAAATTATAGAAATGTTTGAACGTCGATAACGTAAACAGATCTGAACCGATCTGATTAAAAACGGCTCGCACGACATTAGGTACTTATTGAATTTGTATTTAAAGGGATTAACTTTTTTTAATCTAATTCATGCTAGGTTCTCTGTAAGGCAAGATAATAGGATTTTCAGATTGAATTTTAAGAGAAAAGCGTTTTTGTTAAATAAACTGACTATCGTTTAAACTAGGAAGAAGTGGTTTGCCTAGTTAAATTTCTTTTTAAAAGCTCTACAAACTGGTTTTTACTAATTCATGCTGGGTTATCTGTAGGGCAATAGGATTTTTAGATTGAATTTCAAGAGGAAAACGTTTTTTTTTAAATAACTTGACTATCGTTTCAACTAGGAAGAAGTGGTTTGTATAGTAAAATATCGGGAGTCCAATTTAAAATTAGTAGTTTGTGTAACAAGAATGAATATGATGGCGATACGGAAAATTCCCTCAAGTTGTACAGTATATTTTTTCTAATTTATAAAATAAAATAAAAAACATATAATTAGTCCATATTCATGAATTTGAACCCCGGACCCTTCGCACGGCAACTCAAGGAGCGGATACAAGGGGGAGGGGGTAATATGGCAATTATTCCCTCTAGCTGCTCGACGGAACTGTGGAATTTATTAAATTGTAACCTCGATATTTTTCGAGAAAGCAAAAAATAACAAGATGACTGCGATGAATAAAAAAGAAACAAAAAGCGATTATACCGAAACCTGAACTCACGACCCCTTGCTTCAGAAGTCAACGCCTTATTCACAATCCACTTTAGATAGATGCACTTATTTTCTGTTAGTAGCCATATATCAGTCTTCTGAGGACTCTACAATAGACGATGTTAGCCTAATAAGTCGTGAACGCTAGACAACAGAATTATTATATAAATATAATCCTAACCTACACACTAGCTTCATTTTTTAATTGAGGGGTCAATTGCATAAACCAGTCAATTTTTTTAGAAAAATTAGTTAATATGTTCTTGCTCAGTTGTAAATTTTGAATCGTCCTTTGCAAACGAGTTGTTTGGCTGAGTATTTCTCGATACTGTGCATATATAGCGGCCAAAGCTGGGACTCGACTGGTTTCTATACATTGATCTGACACTTTAGCAAAGGCCATCAAATAAGAGAAATAAAAAAGCTTGTCCATACAATGAAATATTCACAAAAACATTATTAAATCTTTTGTCCTTGAAACATTTTTTATCACTCCTGAACATTTTGTCAAAATGGACTTGGCTGGTTTATGCATTTGACCTCCCCCCCAATTACACTGTGTGTACTGTACACACCTGTCACCTTCTTAATAAATGAAAAACACTATAACCTTTGATAAATAAACTTAAGCGTCAATTTATGACAGTTTGTCGGTTGGATAAGAGTAAAATCCTTTCTGTTGGCAACACTGTTGACGTAAATACACTAGCGAACCTAGCGGATTTTTACTTGCAACCTTGATCAATTTTATCCACGTTTTTTCGTTTTAAAATGGTAATTGGTTCACCTTTAGGACCGAGCTGTACATTCGTCTTGATTTCAATTTTAACATTACAGATTAGGTTACCAAGAATGCATGTCAGAAGCAATGCGGTTCATGGTAGAAGTAGAAGGCCATTTTCCAAGAGAAGCAATCTGCGTTCGATTACTGACTCATCTACAAAAACATTGCGAATCAATATCGCGATCGTCGAGCTTCAATCCAAGCCGACACTCCTCTATAATGTCCGAACACATAGTGCCGGTACCCAGCATACCAGAACCCATCCAAAATGACGTTTCAAATAATACTAGGACTGATTACCCGGTATCAAAACTAGAACAGGAACCGAATAATAACGCGCCGTACATTGTGAATTCTAGCAACCAGATTGCCGGCGAAATTGAGTACGACAAACATTCGGAAGCGCAAGGAGTTTCTTACAAATATAAAACGAACATTAAACTCAGATTTACGCAGGATGTTAACGGAAATTGTCAGGATAATTCCAAAACCCAAAAAAATGAAAACAACGGCAGAAGGAACTCGTTGACCAGCATAGAAAATCAGAGGTAGGTGTCTATTCATTTCGTAGGTACAGACTTTTCAAAATTGCTTTAATTTAATATAATAGTTTGTCTTCAATTTAACTCTTAGTACTCTACAGTCCATTTTATATACCCGCACACCATTATTTTAACTTTTTGATTATCTTTGACATTATTATGTTCAATTTTCGTTTAATATCGATTTATACAATTAGTTCTAGTCACAGTTCACCTCCCAGCAGTGAACCGTGCACTCGAATCTCAGACAGCGACAACACACACAGGAGATCTCCATCGGACAGCACGTCATCTGTCATAGGACCAAAATTGGAACCGCCCAGAAACGAACTAATCCAAAGGTACTCACCGAATATCAAATTGCAAGTCCAAAACGACGTCAAACAGAATTTCAACATCCCGATATTCGTCCTGCACACCAAAGGATCCTACTACGTTCCGCTTACCGTAGATTATAAGACTCTTTTTCCATTTTTGCATAATTACGACTTGCTGGAGATTACGCCGATGCACGTGCTGCATCCTGTCACTATCAATGTCAATTTCACGCCTAGTTATAATAATGACATTTCTATTTGTGGTAAATATAAAAGCGATTTTGCCAATTGGCATTAGGTCCGGTGAAGAAGTACTAAGATGGCTGTGATGATCAGGTGAACTTTAAGACTGATGTAAAGATAGATAGGGAGTCTGTAAATACCAGATAATTTTTATTTTTAGATAAAATTTCGAGCTGCGCAAACGCGACCTCTGAACCAAAAACTGCTGAACATTTATGGGTAATATACGCCGAAACAACTGTCAACAATTGTCATAAAAGCTTCAAAATGTGTGTTCCATACATTTTTTCATAAACGTTTATTATTCCTCAGTTTTTTTACTTATTGATAATGACAATTGACATTTTTATAAATGCGGTGTTGCTAAAAGTAAAAAAGTATACGGTATAGAAAATGGGTCGATTAAGAAGAATTGGCTCTTTAGTAATGGTTCCAGGCCGTACATTGTAGCCGAAAAATCTCTGTCCATAAAATGACCATAGATTTCCAAGTTCCAAGCACTTATTTTAGATTGACAAGTGAAGTATAACATATCTTGATGAAAACGTTCGAGTTTTTGTAAAGAAGAATCACTAAAATACACAGCAATTAGGCCAAGAGATTTATCTATTAAAAATTAGAATAAAACTAAAATTTCAATTGCTACCGGGCCAACTATATTACATTTTTAAAACGCTTTGCAAAATTCTTGTCCATTCTTTATCTAGATGATATTTGTGACAAAAATATCTGGAGAACACTATCCTAGTATTTTTAGTTTACTTTTTAGAGCGTCCTGAAGAGAGGCATGTCTTTGCAATAAATTTTGAATAAAAGGAACTTTTACAAATTGGCGCATCAACGTGGGGCATAAATTTGTTAGCAGTATGAGTGACGGAAGCTGGACAGCAAGCATCGGTAAGATAATTTTCTAGTTACTCTAATACACTGACACTTGTGTGTTTGTTGTATGAGAGAGGTAATTTGAGAGAGTGGGGAGGTGTGTTTAGATAGTAGTAAAATATTAATAAAATAAAGGAAATAGATGAAATTTAGAAGTGATATACTAGGATGGATAATACAGAACATCAACGTCAAGTAGAAGTTCAGGAGGAAAAAAAAAGGAAATGGATGTGATGCACATACTTCAGCTATTAATGTTGAAAATGAAAAAAAAAAACTAATTCCAACAGTGTTTTTTTGCAATAAATTTTGAAGAAAGGAACATTTACAAATTGGTGCACAACGTGTGGCGAGTATTTGTCGGCACTATGAGTGATGGAAACAGGACAGCAAGGATCGGTAAGATAATTTTCTAGTTACTTGTGGGTTTGTTGTGTGAGAAAGGTAATTTGAAAGAGTGGGCGATGTGTGTTTGGAAAGTATTAATACACTAAAGTAATCATAAAATAAAGAAAACAGATGAAATTTAGAAGTGATACAAGGATGGATAATACAGAACAGCAACGTCAAGTAGAAGTTCAGAAGGAAGAAGAAAAAGGAAATGGATGTGATTACACATACTTCAGATATTAATGGTGAAAATGAAAAAAAATACTGATTTTAACAGTGTTTTTGCAATAAATTTGGAACGAAATAAATCATTACAAATTGGCGCCCAACGTGGGGCGAAAAATTTGTCAGTAAGACAGCAAGAGTCGAAGAAAATGTTTCTAGTTACTGTAATACACTGACCTTTGTATGTTTGTTGTGTGAGAGATAATTTGAGAGAGTAGGGAATTTGCGTTTAGACAGTAGTAAAGTATTAATAAAATAGAGTAATCATAAAATGAAATTTAGAAGTGATACAAGGATGGATAATACAGAACAACGGGGTCAAGTAGAAGTTCAGGAGGAGGAAGAAAATGGATATGATGCACATGCTTCAGATATAATTAGTAAAAATTGAAGAAAAAATTGATTCCAACAGTGTTTTTTTTGCAATAAATTTCGAACAAAAGCAACTTTTACAAATCGGCGCTCAACGTGGGGCATTAATTTGAATCCAGTGGGAGTGACAGAGGAAGCAGGACAGCAGTAATCGGTAAGAAAATGTGTCTAGTTACTGTAATACACTGACCCTTGTGTGTTAGAAAGGTAATTTGAGAGAATGGGGGATGTGTGTTTAGATAGTAGTAAATAAGCAAAGTTTGTATCGCGATATATATAGGGAATTCAATGTGTTAGAGAGAGAGGTCACCGGCCGCAATGACGCAATGCGATCGAGAGAGATAGATGTATATATAATCTTACGTGACGTAGGTGGGTGACGTAGATTAACGTCGAAGAGAAAAAAATACGCGCAGTAGCAAAGCCAGAAGGGCCTAAGTCCATATCTTCGTTGCTATTGGTCCGATTTATATGCAATAAACGGCGTTGTGAGGGAGAAGTGGCGTAGATTAATGTTGAAGAGAAAAATCACGCGCAGTAGTGACGTGACGTATGGTGTAACATAGTAACGCAATGCGATCGAAAGAAATAGATGTAGCATCACGAGATCACTTAGAATAAGTTTACGTAATCATATTTAATTAACAAATCTGTTTGAGTTGAAATATTTTTATTATAGTATACGAGCTTATATCAACAAGTAATAGTAATTTTAAATCGGCTTTGCTACTGCGCGTATTTTTTCTCTTCAACGTTTAATCTACGTCACGTAAGATTATATACACATCTATCTCTCTCGATCGCATTGCGGCCGGGGACCGCTCTCTCTAATACATTGAATTCCCTATATATACAAACTTTGCTTATCTACTGATAGTAGTAAATAAAGTATTAATAAATTAAAGTAATTATAAAATAAAAGAAATGGATGAAATTTAGAAGCGATACAAAGATGGATAATACAGAACAGCAGAAGTTCAGGAGGAAGAAGATATGATGAATATTCTTCAGATATTAATGGTGAAAATGAAAGAAAAACTGATCCCAACACTGTTTTTTGCAATAAATTTTGAACAAAAGGAAACTTTACAAATTGGCGCTCAACGTGGGGCGAAATTGTGACAGTAGTATGAGTGACAGAAGCAGGATCGATTTTGAGCGCTCGCCATTCCCTTAACTGTCAAGCTATCGGCTCGAACAAAAAATTAGTATAAAGTGTATTTATTTAGGTATAATGCGGTTGTTGAAAAATTTAAATACGACTCTCCGTTCGGCCCATAGCGCTCGTGTAATGAAATCAAGACATGTCTCTTCGGAAATCACTAGAGGCAAACTATAAATATTACGGTAGACTGGTTTTTTGGCACAAATACCCTCTAGATGAAGATTGGATAAGAATTTTTTGTTTGTTTGTGCAGCGTTCTCAAAAAATCGAAAACAACCGTTCTTGCTTCTTATTTATGAAAGTAGCTACATTTCCATAAGTACGTTGCATATTATTTGAGTAGCCAGAAGCCGCGTTTGCGCTAAATTTAACTCATTTGGAATGTCGACTCTAAATGTATTTTTGAAAAATATATATGTGCATTCAGAGGTAAGTACAAGCTTCCTGAGAAGGTAAAATATATTGCAATCTTTTTGTATTCCTAATGATTTAAAAAGTATAATAATTTCAATATTTCCTCTTTAAGAGGGTTTTTGTGTTTGACAATTTTATGACGTGTTGGTATAAAGGAACGCTGCCTAAAAATTAAAGATTTTCCAGAAATATTCTTTAATGGATTAGATTATTTTAACAAAAAAAATATGTGAGAAATTATTTTTACTTTAATTTCGTTTACCAGTCAAATATTCGTATTCACAAAACATATAAATCTTTAAAGATAGAACTGTCAACGTTAATGTCAGTTTACCAAGATAATTTTAATTTTTGGCTGTTGAATAATCCTTTTGTATTCTATTCTTCTTTATATCAATTAAAACATAAATATTAACAGAATTAACTTATCTAACCATCTTGTATACGACAGGTGACATCTGACGTGACAATCGACATAGAACAAGGGTTTCTTAGCGTTACAACAGATACAAATAATTCAATATCGACCTAACTCTATTGGGCATTCATTATAAAAATGATTCTATCTTTAAGGTTTTACATGTGAGTAAATTTAAAAGATGTTTGTGATTTAGGCTGAAAGTGCTAGAAATTATAAAAGAAAATTGTACCTGATTTGAGATGATTCAAAATCGTTAACGTATTAAGATTTTTTTAAATAGATTATTATATTTTTCCAGTAAATTTGATTTATATTTATGTTATTTTGTATAAAACGATAATTATACAGTATGTATCAGAAAGTTGGCAACAAATGGGAATTTTTATTTATTATTAATGTTCTGCATTACATAGAAAATAAAAATGGTAATACAGGGAGAATCAAAAATATTGATTTGTGTTGATGAGTAATAAAGTGATTTTAAATTTAATTACAGAACAAAATGTTATTTTAAAATGTTGATAGTAATGAAACATTATTTTCAAAGCCCTCTAATAATTAACTAATATGTTTAAAGTAATTTTTACGTATTTTTTTACCACTAAACATGGGCGTCCGCAAAATTCAAAGGGGATAATAAAAATGTTTAAGTAATGCAAAACTTTTTACAAATATTTTTGTAAAATTAATAATAAATAAATTTCCTATTTGTTGCAAACTGTTTTAGACATACTATATACAGGGTGTTTCAAAAAAGGCCAGCCCGACGCTCTAAGGCGAATGATTAATAAAAAAATAAAATTGAACTTTTTGACAATCTTAAAGAGTTTGACAAATATTTCTGAAACGCCTTTTTAAATAATATACTTTTCAACAATTATTTTTTAACAGCTGTAAAGTACTTCTCTTCACATTTTATATGTAATAAATTTTATGAGTAACCGTTTCTTTTATTATTATCAAGATCTATCTGCAAAGCACAAAATGTATAAACAGGTATAAGGGTGACCAGTAGCGTTGTCAATTTTGAATCGATTTTATAGTAGATCTATCCTTTGGGACAGAAAAAATCGATTCGGAGTCAATTTAATTGAAGAGCGATCTTTTTACAAGCGATTTTTTAGAATCGAGAATCAATACTGTCAATTTTAAATCGATTTTATAGTAGATCGATTTTTTGGGGCTAAGAAAATCGATTCTGAATTGATTTAATTGAAGATCGATCTTTTTACAAACTATTTTTTAGAATCGAGAATCAATACTGTCAATTTTATAGTAGATCGATTCTTTGGGGCTAAGAAAATCGATTCTGAATTGATTTAATTGAAGATCGATCTTTTTACAAACGATTTGTTAGAATCGAGAATCAATACTGTCAATTTTGAATCGATTTTTAGAGCTAAAAAATCGATTTTGACTCGATTTAATCTAGGATTGATCTTTTTTAAACGATTTTATAAAATCAAGAATCAATGTCAATTTTGAATCGATTTTATAGTATATCGATTCTTTGGGACTAAAAAAAATTGATTCCGACTCGATTTAATCAAAGATCGATCTTTTTACAAGCGATTTTTTAGAATCGAGAATCAATACTATCAATTTTATAGTAGATCGATTCTTTGGGGCTAAAAAAAATCGATTCTGAGTCTATATCAACTTATAAGAAGTGAGCAAGAATCGATCTTCGAACTTTCCATCGATCACAACTCAAAAAATCGAAATTGCGACACAAAATATCGATTCTCGATAAAATCGAAACGAAATCTTATTGAGGGAAAACTTTTCCACTTAAAGAGTCCCTTTAAATCATCCCTTTTACTCAGAAACAGAAACAATTCAAAAAGAAACAACTGCAAATCTAACGTACACATTTATTCAGAATACGAACAAATCAACACATAAAACTGTTTACACTTACTCTGCTTACTAAAGTATTTGGTAAATCTAGCCGAGTCCCTGTATATAACATTCAAATTATTTTCTTCAGGTTCTAAAGTGATTAAAGCGTTTTGAATTTCATCCTCGATGGTGACGTATTGGGTTCTAGCACCGATCACGTCTGAACTCTTCGAACATCCAAAGTACAAAATTAAATCCAATTCGTTCTTCTCGGCCCAATCGAAATCGGTGAGAAGCTGTAAATTTTATTTTTACAAGAAAACCATTTAGACATTCGTAAATACTCACTGAATAATTGCCGCTCGTCCATCTTTGTAATTCGAATTTCATCGACGCGTTGGATCCTGTCAGTTCCAAATCCGTATATCGTTGTAGCAATGAAAACATTCTGCTGGATTGAAATAGATTTAAAAACCTTTCGATGATGTGCGGCAAGCATTCCAAATCGATTTTCTCGTAGTTATACCTATTTGGAGGCCCGAAAGGTATCCATCTTATATCTGAAATGGAAAAATTCACTTCCAAACTTGTATTACCATCGTTCTGCAATTGTCATATTCGTAAAGTTTGAAGTTTTTGACCTATAATTTAGTTGACAGTTCGATTTTTTCGAATATAAAGTATGTGTTCAATATCACAGTTCAAGTCGCTGAAATTCCATTCCTGAGACAACAATTCCTGTTTCCAGAATTATCACATGGCCGGCAAGATCTCCAGATATGACAGATATGCACTGTATATGTAAAAGATAAATATCAATTATTTTGACTTACCTGGACTTTCCAATGCTCGCGATATTTCAACAAAACATTCGGCTCTGAGGAATTTCTTTAGAGAAATTTCTGAATTTTCTTCTATGTGCCTTTGGATGAGTTTAATAGCCCTCGAGTTGAGGTAATCTTCAGCAATCCACGATTCTAAATCGATGTCAACTTCTTTGGCTTTCACAGTATGTCTGCTATACAAACCACTTTCCAGTGGCGGATAAATGGGTAGTTTAAAAACGGGTGGAACTTTGACATGGAACCATCCGTTTATACTGAGTCTGGTGTCATCGATACTCGTTACTTCAGATACCTGTATACCAAATCATTCTAAATCAATACTCGAAGAGTACTAGACATCAATTTCTAGAATTAGATCAAGAGAAACAAAAATTGGAATAAAAAATTCCATTTATTGATGTCTTACAGATGGTAGTGGAAGAAATATGAAGAATGGAAAAGAAAATTGACGAAAATAGCATGTAAATGGAGAAGAAAATGGACAAATTAGAAGAAAATAGAAAGAAGGATAAAAAAATTTAGAATTGAATGCAATGGTATAGGTTCCAAAATTTGTTTTTATGATGTGGATATTTTTGACAGATAGTGTGTAAACTATGTTAATTAATGTTTAATGAAATAAATCGGATTTTATTATAGAATCGAATTTAATCGGTGTTGGGAATAGTAATACATAAAATGAAACGTATTGAATGAATGTCTACGTAAGAATGCTGTGCTCGCGTGCTTATCACCAAAATTCTTATGCGTCCCAGTCCGACGTATCGTTCTACGAAATGAGTAGCACTCGTGAGTCATGACAGGGTGGTCCTAGCCTAGCGATAAGCGAAACATTTGAGTGGTTACAGTGTCTTTATTTGTAGCCTTTTAGTTTTGGTAGAAATTCGATGAAAAAAAAAATTCTTCAGAACGAAATGATGGGTCGCCTTGAGTGCTATAGTGAGGTCAGGCTGTTAGTTGATGCTCACGCTATTTGATTTAATTAATGAAAATTGAAAATAAAAGGGAAACAAAATGGAGAAGAAAATCAACGAAAACAGCAGGAAAAAGGAGAAGAAAATGGAACAAATTAGAAGAAAACAGAGAGAAGGGCAAAAAAGAAATTACTGATATGATTACACAACATAAAGAAGAAGTAATCAAAAACTAGAAGTACTGATATAAATAAATAGGGGAGAAACAAAGAAAATAAAAAAGAAAGTATAAATTAGAAAAATATAAAGTTAATAAAAAATAGAAGAAAGTTTAGAGTTAAATACAAAAGAATTAGATACAGAAATAAAAACAAAGTTAAAATAAACATAGAAATTGAAGAAGTAAATGCAGAAGAAAAACAAATTTATTACTTTCTGTGAAAAATGGAAAATAACATGGAAGGTGCAGACATAAATATTGAAATTGAAGAAATAGATGGCTCAATCAAATACTGCCACAACTAAAATACTATTGTTTTGAGAAAGTTTATTTTGAAATCTCTATTAGTCTATTATCATTATTTTGTTCCTGATTTAAAATCTTTATATTTTATTTAAAAGCTATGACATTTTGCTGTTAAAATTAACGATTACGATTATAAAAGCGCCGAAACTATAGTTATTGCGTAGTTTGTAAAAAAATTGTTTTTGTAGAAAATAACCTGAAACGAGGCAGTTTTAGATACAGCTCTGAGTGACTAAATTTTAAATGATTTTCAGGCATCTCTAAGAACATTTTGGTTTGTGGCGGTATTTAAAATAAAAATTCAATAATATTTTGCATCCATTGAACCAAAAATTTAATTTTCTTTATTTTTTGACTTGTGGCGGTTTTTTATTGAATCATCGAAAAGTTTCACAATATCTTTACCTGGTGATAAGAATCGCTAGTCACCGGAAACAATACTAATTGATTATTGGCTGGAAATATATCCCTAATGATTTCCTTGGGTTGACCGTGTTCGTCTTTGCTCAATAACTGTAGAGCGCCCCCTTTACCTTCGCACCAACCGTCTTTTCCTGTTAAATATAAAACAAACGCTACCATGCGGTCTTCTCTTTGATCATCGTGTACTAAAAGATAATCCGTATTACTGTACAAACTACAAGTTGCAGATACGTGCGTTAAACTGTATCCAGTTAAATTTGACACCTACAATAATGTGTAATGGTTAAAAATGGGGAATATAAGTGTGCACTAATATAGTCAATCCATTTAGAATCTAAAAAATGTAACTTTGGAACACCTGCAAATGAGACGCCAGACATCTTAGAGTTGTAAAATGTGGGAAAAAACTAATTATAACACACCCATTGATTTTTTTAGATCCTAAATGTATTACCTATATATAAATATTTCAAACAGTTTTACTTATTTTATTCATTAATTTTATATAGTTTAACAATACTTACCCACTCTCTAACTTCATTCTTCAGAAAATCAAAGATAATACTAAGATATTCAGAATTTAAATATTTCAAGTCTTTAGACTGGAAAAACTCATACAAATCCATGTTTCTCAAGTTCCAATCGAGATCATTAAATTCTTTTTGAACGTTCCATAAAAAAGTTTCATCCTGTATAAAATTGTTTATAACGCAAACTTTAAATGGATCGACAATTAATTCCAAGTCTTCATTGTAAAATTTTTCATTTTTATTCCAATGCAATTGCAGTTGGTTCACTAAATTGTCTGATAATAGAGTGTTTCTAATTGATGCAGATATTTTTGGCTTCTTTTTTAATGGACAATCTGTGTCTGTACTGTTTGTAGGCAGTAAATGATCTATGCTTAACAAAAATTAATCAAATGTACCAAAAAATAATTAACAAAAATCTTTAAGTATCAACTACACAAAAGTGTACTTACAACCTATAAGGGATGAAGGTGGTATTGTAGTAGTAATAACTTTGCAATCATTATCCCAGAGGTCACATTCATCTTCTGCTTCGCTTTCCGAAGACTCTTCGAAATACGTGATTTCTTCTTTTGATTCACTCTCTGAAGAATATTCATTTTCACTATCTGAAGCTATAATAAACAAAGAACTAGACTTCCAAAAAATATATTAAGTATCTATTTACCATTGTATGTCTTTTCTTCCATTGATATTATTTATTTAAATACCTATTTTTTTTAAATAACTCATGAAAAATGTGTTGTTTATTTTTAAAAATTTAATTTTATTCTTATTCTAACCTAATAAATTCTTCCTTTCTCTTCTTCTTTTTTGTTAATAAGATTAGACTTTTACTATAACAGTAAATAATACTTTTTAAACACACATTACTTTTTATGGAAGGAAATAAAAAAGGAGGCATTTAAAAGCTTGCAACATTTTATTTAATTTCAGTGGATCTTACAAATAGTATTAAACTTCTTTAGGAATAATCAATAAATAAGCAGGAACGCATCCTACGATGTAAAAGAGAGTGTTGTAATTCAGTTTGAAGAACCCAGCGGCAGATAATTCATAATTCTCCGCGCTAACGGTATTGATCATATTTAAAACCAGCGCTTTGATTTCAGGCCCCTTCTTGTCCCTGATATTAACTAACTCGAATTGAAGTAATCCAATCAGGACATCGTTGATCCTTGCTATTTCTCTGTTGACTTTATCACAAGCAGATATTATAAGGGTTCCCATATACTGCAAATATAAATATTACTTTTATTAGTACATTTATCCGAATTAGGTATTCTAAATAGAATGGTTTGATATGGCAACCCTGTGGGCCTGGTAGATTTGACAGTCAATGATACAGATAGTTAAATAGATTGATCATCAATGTTTTCAAAATAAATATATAAACTTTTGCATTGAAGTAAAAATGCAGGTAATTTTTTTTTACTATATTTAAAGGCTGAAAATTGTTTTTTCTAATTTTGGCATATAAAGTGACCATTTTTGTAATCAAAGAAAGGCAGGTTAACTCATAAAAATAGAAGTTGGTTACTTACAACCAAGTAGTAATGTTGTTTTGGTTCTTATTTTCCATTCTAAATCAGTACAAAATAATTAAAACAATAAAATAACCCACTTTTTTGAAAAAATAAATAATTTTAATAAGTCCCACTCGACCATTCACTGTTGGGTTCTAATTAACAGTGCTGTTCCTAAAGTGGCGCTGGGAAACAGTAACAAAGCCTACACAGAACACGAGGCGAAATAACCTTAGCAGTTGAAGCCGATGACACACAAAAAAAAATTAATAAGTCATATAAACACAAGTCGTTGAGAATAAATTAAAAATATATTGTCAATAAAATGATGCATATGCATCTAACAATACAAGAAAGTAGTAATATTGGTTGCCTAGATGTCAGTTATTTCTTTCACAATTTTATAAATAATTTATCAAAACTAGAAAAAATATTGTAACACGTTACGAAATGTCGTTTTGGCTTAACTGGTTTCAGCTAGCTAGCTAGCTAGCTATTAAAACACATTTTTACTAAAGCAACTCTGATTAATGAACGATCCGCTTTGAGCAATCTATATAACTATGTACACATTGGCTCTATCAAAGCCAACAGACCAACAGGGTTGCCATATCAATGCAAACAGGAAGCATTTTGACAGGTCGTTGGAAATCCTAATGGTAGATTATACAAGGGCGGCAATGGGGGCAATTTCTTCCTGGGTTTGTTCAGGTTCACATTATAAATAAAAAGATATAACCTCTAACATATGCGAATAAATTAGGGTCCCCCTAAGCCCCAAGCTTGACGTATACTCGTATTATGTGTTGCATAAGTTTTGGCGCCTTGATCTTTACACAGAATAGATGAATTTCAGTGGTGTGGCCCATAGGTGTGGCCCTTAGAATATAACTAATTTTAAGGTATGGTCATATCATATTTTTTTTGTAAAGAAAACAGTTTGCAAATTAAGTTGAATGCTTTAAATTTTGATTAAAAATAAAAAGACAACGCATGTGACTTATTTTGACCAGCTGTGCTATCTATGCAGGTAACAACACTAGCATCATCTGATTGAGTATTTCGCTCATAGATGCTACAATGTGTGACACATTCAGAGGTGATTCAGAGTTGGATAATAGAGTATTAGCAAACCCCCGCTGACCATCCGCTAATTTTAGGGATATATACTGTAATCTACCCCTTTGAATGTTTATGAAAAGTGTTATAAGTTTAACCTAACGTCAGCTAAAACTCTCTAATATCCAGATACTTTATACAGTTCGCCCTTTTGAGGATAAGAACGGGATATTGCTGTCCGAAGTCGGCGACGTACTATTCTATTTCTCACTATTCAATAGCATTGTGTTTCTATACCGTTGTCCTTAAGTTAGAATTAAAAAAAGTCGTCAGAAAAATACACAATGTTTATAAAAATTCTTGAAATTAAATTACTGTCTTAACACAACTTAACAATATTGAAATCTTGTTAATTGGTAACAGAAGAAAACTGCAATTTCTGAGTGTTAGCCAAGAAATGTTCAGTTTTAATGTTATAATAGTTTCAGCAGTATTTTTCAGCTTGGTTCGATTACTTGCAGATCATACAAAAGTGGTGTCGTCTGCGAATTGTACACATTTAAGAGGACTCATATAATTATATAACCACTTAATTTGTTGGTGTATTCAATAAATAACAATGGTCCTAAGATGGAGTCTTGTGGAAATCAATGCTTAATACAACTAAAATTTAACTGTCTAAAATTGTAGACATTAATAAAATTCTAAAATATTTAATGCACTTTCTAGAACACCATATACTATAGTGTCCAACTTACCAAATAAATTGCAGCCGTAGAAATGGACGAACCAATATGAAATATAGGTGAAGACGTTATTAAAAACAGACCAAAACAATATTTCAAAATAAGATTGAACATATTAATATTCCTTAATGTTACATTGTACAACGTGAACAATATATGAAATCCATACATCTCGTCGAAATGTTCGATAACATTCAAAATATCCAAATACATTTTCATGTAGAATTTGGTCTCGTCATATTTGCTATTATCGTTCGAAATTATTAACCATAATGGCGAATGTTTGATTTCGATCAAAATTCGATCGTTGAATATTTGTAGAACTTTATAAACTCTGATGTATTCCAAATACATTTTAACAACAGTTATCGACATTAAAGTATCGTTAAAAATTAAAAGCATGATACTCAACAAATGTATAACAGGAGCAGCAGTAAAGTTATAGAGAGTTAAACAGCAATTTATGATCATCAGTAGTAAAAATAAGATACACAAAAAGACATACTGCTTATCGTTCCAAACTATCTTACAGCCAAAATGATTTTTGATTTTTCTTTCTAAGATTTTCACACCCGCAATTGCATCGATTAATTTTTTCCTTCTAATATAGTTTAGATCCAGAGAAAACATAAAGATCACAACGATGCTATTAATGAAAGCTGCTTGGTCTAAAAGTGAAATTGATAAAATTCCGAACATATGGAACTTTTGAATTATCAAGTATCCAGAGAGAACTAAGTATAGACTCCAAAATGTTATATAAATAATCATATTCCGTTTTTTTTTTGTATCGCTTTGTAGAGGGTATGAAATTCTGCAAAATGTGGTCAAAATGTCAAGGAAATTGTAGAGCTTTTCGAAAAGCTGCATCTCTTCCTCGGTCAACCACAAATTACTTTACGATTAAACTTTGCAGCTAGAAATATACAGTTAAATTAAAGAAAAAATAGTGGCACTCTTGTATATAACAAAGAATAATGTAAATATACGACAATTTCAATAAGTGATTATATTTTAATAATCTCTTTTTTTTAATAAAATATTTTGGTGTGTTTGATTAGCAATCAAATTTACTAAATTCAGATAAAATCAACTATAAAGTTCTTGTTATTGGCGACTAAACCTATAGCCAGAAATAGACGGTTAAATAAAAGAAGAAACCAAAGACACACTTTTTCGCTTTACAAAAAATACCTACTTTGTAAAATCCAAAGATATGTAAAATCCAAGTAAAATCCTACCACTACAACAACCCGATATACACGTGTGTGTATATAAAGTTGCCTACCCGTGAATATCATTTATATCTAAATGGCATTTACCAGGGTTGGCTTTGATTTTCGTTTATTATTATGAATTGAAACATGACTTTTTATTTTATGTAAGATTATTAAACTAGATGATTTTAACTACAGATTTAATAATGAAATATATTGTTGTTCTTATGTTAACTATACAGTATTATGTTACTTTATTTATATAAAGCTTCTCTTAAAAATGTTTTTCATTTTTGAATAATTATTATTATTAATGAAAGATTTGCCCATTTGGTTTCATACCAATGCCATTTAATTATGAAAAAATAAAAAGAAAATAGCAAGCATCGTTTCTTATTTGGCAACCAGGTACATTTTAAACAAATATATTATAATGTATAATTATAATGTAAGTCCAACTTTTTCAAACACTTTGTAGTTATATGATGCCCAATGGGCCTAGATAGAGATGCAGGTCTGAGTAGGATGTTCAACGTCATTTCATAAGAAAACTTACCAAATAAATTACAGCCGTGGAAATCGAAGAACAAATATGCATTATAGGCGAAGAAGATATTAAATACAGACCGAAACAATATTTCAAAATCAGATTAAACATATTAATATTCATTAACGTTATATTGTACAACATGAAGAATATATGAAATCCATACATCTCGTCAAAATGTTCGATAATATCCAAAATATCCAGATACATTTTCATGTAGAATTTGGTCTCGTCATATTTGCTATTATCATTCGAAATTATTAACCATAATGGCGAATGTTTGATTTCGATCAAAATTCGGTCGTTGAATATTTGTAGAACTTTATAAATTCTGATGTATTCCATATACATTTTAGCGGCCGTTATCGCTAGTAGAATATTGTTGTAAGTTAAAAGGATAATACTCAATAAATGTATAATAGGAGCAGTAAAAAAGTTGATGAGAATCATACTGCAAGATATGGTCTTAATTAGTAAAAATGAGATACACAAAAAGACATACTGCGTATCGTTCCAAAATATCTTATATCCAAAGTGGTTTTCGATTTTTCTTTCTAAAATTTCCACACCCTTAATTGCATTGATTAATTTTTTCCTTCTAATATAGTTTGAATCTAGAGAAAACACAAATATCATAACGATGCTGTTGATGAAAGCTGCTAGATTTAAAAGGGAAACTGATAACATTCCGAACATATATAACCTTTTAAATATAAGGTATCCAGAGAGAGCCAAATGTAGACTCCAAAATACTATATAAATAATCATGTGCTGAGTTTTATTTGTATTGTTTTGTATAGGATATGAAATTCTGCAAAATGTTGTTAAAATATCAAGAAAATTGTAAATCTTTTTAAAAAGCTGCATCTTGAGGAGTTTTTTTGACCACAAATTACTTTTAACGATTAAACTTAGCAGCTAGAAATATACTGTCGGCAGTTAAATTAAAGAAAAAATAACCTTACTCTTGTATATTATAAAGAATAATGTAAATATACAACAATTTCAATAAGTGACCTAAATTTAATAATCTATTTTTTAACAAAACCCCTCGGTAAATATTTCAGGTGTGTTTGATTGACAATCAAATTTACTAAATTCAGATAAAATCAACCTAAAGTTCTTCTTATTGACAGTTAAATAAAAAAACGCACTTTGTCATATTACAAAAAAATATCTAATATCTGTGGGATCTTTTAATTGAGTTATTACATCATAAATAAATCATTAGTTGGAGAATGTATAAATTAAATATATTTCTTGTAAAGGAAAGGCAAGTTGTATCTTTGTAAATACAAAAATGTCTTAATGATGTAAAACAAACAGATTCTTGGCAACGGATCTTACCACAAAACAAAATTATTTTGTAAAATAAAAGTTTCGAACTTACTAGTTCCATATTTTATTGTATAAAATAATTTATGTGGAAATCATTTAAAATTTAATTTAGAACTACTATCTACTACTAAAAATTACAATTTGATTTTACCGCCATCTGTCAATTGTCATTTTAGTTCCTACTCCAAATACAAGGTGGTGCTTATTTGGTTTAAAACACATACTTTGATTTTCTTTTACTATTCGGAGAATGGTCGCACTGCGCAGCTTTCTGAGTGCCTTTTAAACGGAGATAGAAAACTCCGCCATTTTGAACCCTTATTACGTGTTGCCTACATCTTGGCGCAATATTTTTAATAGGTGCGTTTTAATCATCCGCTTCTGCTTCCGGAATTGTCGGTTTAGTCGTTTTAACTTGTCAAATTAAAACAAGAAATCCATCTCGTCGAAATGTTCGATAATATCAAAAATATCCAGATATATTTTCATATATAATTTAGTCTCATCATATTTGCTATTGTCGTTCGAAATTATTAACCATACTGGCGAATGTCTGACTTTATTCAAAATTCGGTTGTTGAATGTTTGCAGAACTTTATAAACTCTAATGTATTCCAAATAAATTTTAACAGCCATTATCGACAGCACAATAGTGTTGAAAACAAAAAATATAATATCCAAAAAATCACCAACAGGAGCATTAAAAAAGTTGAAGATAAGCATCCAGCAAGATATGATCTCCACCAGTAAAAATAAGATACACAAAAAGACGTACTTTGTATCGTTCCAAACTATCTTATAGCCAAAATAATTTTGAATTTTTCTTTCTAAGACTTCTACACCTATAATAGCATCGATTAATTTTTTCCTTCTAATATAGTTTAAATCCAGAGAAAATATAAATATTATAACGATGCTGCTGACGAAAGCTGCTTGGTCTAAAAGGGAAATTGATAACATTTGGAACATATGGAACCTGCGAATTACGAAGTATCCAGAGAGAGCTAAATGTAGACTCCAAAATGCTATGTAAATATTCATATGCTGATTTTTCTTTGTGTTGTTTTGTATAGGATATGAAATTCTGCAAAATGTTGTTAATATATTAAGGAAATTGTAAAGCTTTTTGAAAAGCTGCATATCTAGACTTCCTCAGTCAATTTACTATTAAACTTTGCAGCTAGAAATATACAGTCAAATTAAAAAAAAAAAAAGTAGTGGGTGGCACTCTTGTATATAACAAAGAATAATGTAAATATACGACAATTTCAATAAGTGACGATATTTTAATAATCTCTTTTTTTAATAAAATATTTTGGTGTGTTTGATTAGCAATCAAATTTACCAAATTTAGATAAAATCAACCATAAAGTTCTTGTTATTGGCGACTAAAACTTTAGCCAGAAATAGACGGTTAAATAAAAGAAGAAAACAAAGACCCACTTCTTCGTTTTACAGAAAATACCTACTTTGTAACACCCTACCACTACAACAACCTGATATATACGTATGTATACAGGGTGTTTTCAAAGTTGAGTCATTTATTTTAACAGCTTGTAGAACTCGTCAAAAGAAGTTGATATACCAAAAATCACCTAAATAAAAGTTGCATATTAAAAGAAATAAAAAGGAATTTCAAAATTTTAAAACTAAAACAAATACAAACTATTTATCCTCATATTTTAATATTCCTGCCCTCTGCCAAGTAAAAACTTATCGTTGTTTGTTTACTACGACCATTTTATTTATCTAGGTATGGCTATTTTTTTGTTTTACGGTTTTGAGAATTATTTTCGGTTAGTTATTGGTATCAAGCGTTTAGTTCGTATCACTTTAATTTTTTTGATATTTTGTACGGAAAAATGGCCCACGTTTATGGAAACAATGAACTAGTGAACATAATACTAACATACAGAGAGTGCCAACAAAATGCAGCAGCAGCATGTCGCCTTTACGCGGAAAGGTTTCCATTAAGAAATCATCCGGCTCCACGGATGTTTGTAAATTTAGTTATTCGACTTCGTGAGACAGGATACTTGAAAGAACAACAAGGTGGTCACGCTGGAAGACCTGCTCCACCTGAAATGGTAGAAATTAAGGAAAATATTTTGGAAATGGAAGATGACCCAACAATAAGTACCAGAGCCATAGCAACTCAAGTCGATGTTTCCCATAGTAAAGTGTGGAAAACAATACGACAGGAACAATATTATCCTTATCATTATCAACGGGTACAAGCATTACAACCTGAAGATCATCCTAGAAGAGTTGAATTTTGCCAGTGGTTTTTACAACAGTTGAACAGAAATGAAGATTTTACGAAAATAATTTTAGCTACAGACGAATCCACATTTACACGAAATGGGATATTCAATTTTCACAACAATCATGTTTGGACAGTAGAAAATCAGCATGCCGTAAGAAGATCTAATTTCCAACATAGATTATTTTCATTAAATGTTTGGGCTGGTGTAGTAAATGGCATGCTTATTGGACCATATTTTTTTCCACCTCGGCTAACCGGTGACATTTATTTAGATTTTCTTCGACACCATCTGCCAGAATTATTAGATGTTCCACTGAATGTTAAAAAGGATATGTGGTTTCTACATGACGGAGCTCCACCGCATTTCAGAAGAGGAGTTCGTGAATATTTGAATGAACAGTTTCCGAATAGATGGATAGGGAGGAATGGATCCGTTTCTTGGCCTGCACGCTCCCCGGACCTAACGTGTTGTGATTTTTTTCTGTGGGGTTATTTAAAACAGTTGGTGCATCATGATGGAGAAGTAAATACTGTGGAAGAACTTCAAGACCGCATTGTAAATGCTTGTGATGTTATTCGCGGACATCCGGATTTTATTTTTGAGGCCTGTCAGGAGTCGTGGGTACTCCGAGCAAGACTATGCATTAATCGGACAAATGGTGACAATTTTGAACAATTTTTGTAAAAATGGAATACATTTTACCGATAATGAATGTTTTTAATTTTAAAAAAACCTATAACTCCCTTATTATGCAACTTTTATTTAGATGATTTTTGGTATATCGACTTCTTTTGACGAGTTCTACAAGCTGTTATAATGACAACTTTGAAAACACCCTGTATATCCGCTTTCTTACTGGACATGATCGGAATGCGTACAATTCCTGAAATTTTTGTATCATGCTTCAACTCTTCGGCTGCGATAAGAAGCGTTATCTAGTACAATAACTGAATTTGGTTCTACACGTTGTAACACTCTAGTAAACCACTTTTCAAATCATTCTGCATCCATGTCCTTGTGGTGGTATTCTTCTTTTGATATAAACAAAAGAGCGTTGTTTTCCAAGAAGCTCATTAAACCTGGAGCCATTCCAACTGAATATACACCTACTTATGCTGGTTGTCAAAGACAATTATATAGCAATTACGAGTAATTTCAGGAGATCGAAGAAAAACTATCGTTTGCTCCGCGTGCAGCTGGCTGGTAAAAGGGGCCCACAGCACAATAGTAGTTGACAATAAATAATAGACGATGATGTGGCCAATTTTCGAATAAAAATCTGGTGTTTAGGAGGAAATTAAATAAATTATGAAAGTGAATGAAAAAATAGATTCATATTACACTTTATATCGACAGTTTTGGATACAGGAAAGTTGGGTTAATTCTTGAAAAATGTATTTAAATTTTAAAAAATATAGTAGGCATCATCATTTATTTAGTAACATATATTTATTTCCAATCAATAATTCAATCCACCATCTTTTACATTTCTCTTTCAAAAATTCCCTCTCTGACAACCTTCTAAAAAATATCTGACAAATCTCTTAATATTATATGACAATTCTCATAATAGACATCCTGATTTTTCTTTCAAATAAAATTTAATTTTTCAGGACCGACCTTACCCATCAAACGTTGATTACCAAATTATAAATTTGAAAACCAAAAATATCTATTACTTTTAATTTTAAATAAAAATATCATATATATATATATATATATATATATATATATATATATATATATATATATATATATATATATATATATATATAGTTAATGGGTCGATTCTGAGACAATCTATAAAGTCTGTAAGCCAA